GAGTATGTCAAATATTGGAAATCACAGCTAGCCCAGCAGGCGAAATTGATGCTAAGGACGTTAAGCTGAAAGTTAGGGTTTTCCGACAAGCAAGTGACACGCAAATCCCTAATCGAGAAACAATTTGTCCTCACGAGTTGTTCTACACAGAGGAGGGTAATTAAAATTAAGTAATAATGTTTCTTCATTTTGCTTTGTTATTCTCATTTTAGTGAAAGAAATCTCTGCAAATGCGATCGTCGGGCAAGCTTATGTGGCTTACAAAGAACGTTTGCCGCTTCAAAAATTTAAGTGGATTCAGCAAGGAGACAACAGATTCTGTTACGATAAACAGTACACGTTGGGCTCCAATACACTTTCTGACGTTCCCAACGTAGCTAAAGAATCCATCGGCCACATGGACCCAGAGGTAATAAAAAATTTTTCTGACACTTTTATCATAAAAATATACCTTTTCTGGCTTGAAATTAGACGAAGAAACCTGTTCACCCACCAAATCACAAAGTGCCGACTGAGAGGCTAAAAGCATTGGATGTGTTTGCTGGTTGTGGTGGTCTCTCACAAGGTTTACATGAGGCAGGCATGTGTGAGACCAAGTGGGCTGTGGAGAGAGACGCAGATGCCGCCCAGTCCCTTAAAGTAAACTTCAAAGATGTGACAGTTTTGAATGAAGACGCGAAACTGATGTTAAAGAACATGAAGGAGGTGAGAATTATACAAAATATTAAATAATGAATTTTTTAATAATTTTAACTTCAACTGCACAGAAAAAAATTCAAAACGACAAAGGGCAGTCTTACCCCAAAAAGGGTGAAGCGGAATTGGTTATGGGGGGTGCACCCTGCCAAGGATTTTCGAGGTTGAATCGGTACTCCCAAGGAAAAGCAGCATTGCTCAAGGTATTTTTTCAGTCTTATCAAAATATTCCTTCCTTTAGTGATTGCTTGTTTTGTGGACATTTTTTTAAATTAACATGGTTGACATAATTGAAGTGTGTACCGCGCATGACGAAAAATTCCATAAAAATTTCGCAATTAATTTTATATATGCCCACTTTTTCTTGCTCTCAACTTTCAGGTAAAATGTTTATGCAACTTGAGCAACGCTAATGATGCGCCGGTTGCCTAATTTCTCAATCGTGCAACTATTAGGCCCATAAAATGAATTTATTTGACCCAAACACAAACTTTTCATATTCAATATTAAAACTGCGGAAACTTTGATTCTTCAATGGGTGCGCTAAACAATTTTGCTCTCGCGCTCATGGGCAACCTTGCTCTCGCGCTAATGACTTTTCAAATTCTTGCGCTAGCACTGTGCGCTCAAATTAACAATCATTTTATTTGATAAAAAAAATCCAAGGAACAAATACATGTCAGAATCTTGGCCTCATAACTAAATGAAAATCTAGAAAACAATGCAATACGCTGATGTTCTTTTAGAACACTTTTAATGCAATTTTTATATTTTAATTATTTTATAAGCTATTTTTCAAAATTAAATTAAATAAAACGTCAGCTTAAAGTATATTATGATTATTAATTTAATAATCAGCAATTTCAAATGCAAATAAGTAGTTTATTTTTGTGTCAGAACGTCACGATTGAGGGTTAATTCATAGGGATTGAATTTTAAGTAGACTTTTCCTCGATGGATTGTGTGAGTTGTTTGTTGTTGAAAACTGCAGCCAAAAAATATGCAGAGTAGAATATTGTATTTTCTTAAAAAATCAACAACTCACTTTATATTAAATATAAAAGAATTTAAATTATGATTTAAACTTTCCTGCTTGATATCGATCATGCAACTCATGACCATGGAAGAGCTAAATTGTGCATGTCCAGAGTTTCTCAGATTTAAAAAATTCTTTTAAATTATTGCTGTGGGATTAATTCTTTAAAACTTGCTGACTGCAATTTTGAGCGCACTGAGCTCGCGCTCAACTCAAAAGCGCCCATAGCATCCTTGCTTCTTAATTATTCAACAATCTTGTGCGTCTATTATCAACTTTAAAAACTGCCATTAAAATATTGATTGCATTTTAGATATTAATTTCAAATAATTTGTATTTCTCTTTTATATAAGAGATAAAATTACCTTGCATAATAATCACCATAAACAACTTAACAATTTAAGTCTTTTTTGGTATTTTTTGTTCTATTTTCAATTTCTAAACTGATGAAGCTCGCGGAGGATACCTACTAGATCTAGCCAAAAAATATTTCTTCCGCAAAAAAAAAATTGAAGCTCGATGATGAAACTAATTCCAGGGGAGTCAAATCCTCTGCAAAAACTTTTAGCTCCAACAACCAAATCACTTTCATAAGCAGAAATTTTGGGGTCTTCGGGATATTTTGTAAATAATTAAATTGCATTATAAGCCAACGATACAAACGTTGGCAAAATTGTGTCAGCTCCTATTAGATTGCTCCTTGATAAATATTTAAGGTTAAAGGTAACTGACCCTGGCATAAAGGTCCATGAATTTTATTTTGACCTGTGCTCCTTGAAAATTTGCAACTTGAAAAAATCATATACAACCAAGAGATACGTCATATCTTATGGTATCAGAGTACAAATTTTTAAAATTGAGGCATTTCATCATATTTGAGTCATATTAAGTAGGATTATTATTGTTAAATTCATATTCGAAGGCAAAGGACTAGCAAAAAATTGGTAGGTTTAATTTACTTAAAAACAAATTCACCTGCATGAAGTTCTGAATGAAAAACATTTTTGCTAAAGAATTAAATGTCGAGTCTAACTGTCGGAGAGATTATTTCTAGGAACTTTTGCGAACGGTTATCATTAAATTATTTAGTTATTAATTAATTAATTAGCGAGTAAAAACTTTTCGAGGAAACTTTTCTTAATAAATTGTGCGAATTAATAATGAAATATTTTTTGTAATTTGCAGAATTCATTGGTGTTTACTTTCTTCAGCATCATAGCATTGTTGAAGCCAAAGTTCTTTATTTTTGAGAACGTTAAAAACTTTGCCTTCGCTGAGAAGGGTTATTATCTGAAAAGAGTCATCGCTCGCTGCCTGAGGATGGGGTATCAGGTGAGATTTGGAATCCTGCAAGCAGGCGCATATGGAGTGCCGCAAGACCGCCAAAGGTAATAATGTGATTGTTGTAAGTTTAACATGCATGTAACGATTACCGACTGCGTGCACTAGGATCATCATCCTTGGGGCTCTCCCTGGCAACAAGCCGCCTCACTTGCCAACAATCACGCATGTGTTCAACCACAGATCGCATTCTCTCAATCTTGATGCTCAGCCGGTAATTTTTAGTAATTTAAATTTTCATTATATTTAACGAAAATCTTTGTCAGATCGACGATGGAACAGCCATTGTTGACCAAAACTGCAGAGACGCACCATTTAGAACAGCAAATGTGTATGACGCAATATCAGATCTTCCGGATATCCAAGGCAAAGAGAAAGTGTCCAGCAATAACACATACTCACACTGCAGGACGATCTTTCAAGAAAAAGTAAACAAAAATTACTCTATTGTCCTTATAATTTGTTTTTAAATCCATTATTTTCCAGGCTCGAGAGCTTTCAAATCAACTGGTCGATCACACGATTAAAGTTTTGTCACTTCTCGACACACTGAGAGTGAGTTTAATTCCTTGTGGCGGTGATTGGAGGTATTTGCCAAACATTGAAACTTACTTGCCAGATGACAAAAAAGTAGAGCAACTGTAAGATTTTCACATCTTGTTGATTTGATATCTTGCGAATATTAAAATTTAACTTCTCACTTTCTAGCAAGTACTTGGAAGGCACAAAAGTTTGCCCTTGCCAGTTAAAAAAGAATTCGAAGAAAACGATTGAATGTGTCAAACAAGGAAACACCCTCATTCCGTGGTTCCTCTGTCACTCAGGAGACAGAAATGGACACTACCGTCAATCGTACTCGAGACTACACAATTTTGAGCCATTCAAAACAACTATCACCTCTCCAAAGCCAAGCGGGAAGCAGGTAATTTTTCAAATTATTAATTTCAAATTTCAGTTTAACTGACGTGCGGTTTTCAAACAGGGCGCAGTACTGCATCCAACTTTCCACAGGTGCTACTCTGTGCGTGAACTCGCCCGGTCTCAGGGTTTCCCAGACCACTTTCAGTTCAGTGGGTCCCTGGATGCCAAGTATTGCCAGGTAATAAATTATAAAATTGTCCTTTTAATGAAACGAACTATTTCAATATTTTCCCTTTGAATAAGAGCTGTTATCATTATTACTACCTCAAAGTTAATGGCCAAGTTAAAACATTTTTCTGCTTTTTAAATATCCTAGATTTCAATTTTATTTACATGCCTCCATTGCAAGTAGTCTGTTGAGGCATTTGGACACAAAAACAGATTGTTATTAATATTAATTGTTATAGATTGGCAATGCTGTTCCTCCGCCTTTGGCTAAGAGGATTGGAATGTGTTTCCCGTGAATGACCAACCAGACTCCTGATCGACTGCTCTAAATTCGTATACAAGTTCTATAGAAATAAATTATTTTTAAAATTTAAAATTTATATCTCTTTAAATGTTTTTAATTTGCAATTCATAATTTCCTTTACCTTAATTCCAAAATTGAAATTAATTTATTTTTTCAATCATTTTTTAGAAATAAATTCCCGTTTGATATGACAACTTTTATAATGACACTTAATTTTAATTAAAATTCAAAAAAAAATTATTCTAATGAAAGTAAAAATAAAAAAAATTAATGCAACAAGTATAAAAAACTGCTGACCTGAATATGGAAATAAATTATTTGTGAAAATTGTGGCTTCTTGAGTTTAAATATCAAGCTTTCAAATTTTTTTGCTGATAAATATGATCAAATCTTTGAAATAAGTCAATTAAGGTGGCGCCACACTAACGTTAAGGGAACTGATTGGTTTTGATTGGCCCACCATAAAATATTTGAGTGGAACACGTGACTGCGATAAGCAGTGAGACCCAGTGGGTCTTTTGCTCTAGCGTTGCACAACCAGTAGCTGCAGGATCACAGGCACGATCACCATGTGGAGCTCTTTGTTTTCTGGGTGAGAGTTTTTTGATAAAGCAATCTTTATCTTTTCTATTGATTTATTGTTGGGTTCAACCATTGAGATTATGTGGAGTGAGTTTTTCATTCGCTACATAAGAGTTGCAAAATTCATCGGCCAAAATAACATTTAATTATTGATGGCCCATCTGCATTCATCTATATCGCTCACATGATTCGAGTGATTAAAAAGACTGATATCTCATTAACTTTTAACTTGCAGTATTTAATCTGGTGTCCACAAAAAACGTTGAAAGAGACAGAAATTATATCATCAGTATTACAAAATGTAATTATTATTGTTTTTGTTGTTAAATTTTTCTATTAAATGTGATTAAAAATAAAAATTGTATTCTTTTTTTATATAAAATAAGATTTATAAGTTTTTACAAAAAGTAAATAAATTTAAACCCGTTAAAACCTATATAATTTTTCATTTCAATTCTTGAATGATTAATTATTGATTTTCTTCATTAAAACAATAAAAACACATTGATATTTCTTTAAAATTAAAAAATTTCTAGAGAAATGGATCGAAACCCATTACAAAAATCCCACATTCAATGATTAGCTGGTCATATATTTGAAAGCTTCATTTCAAATTCTTTACATTCCCAGTCACGTTTGTGCGTGTTTTTTTCTTTCAGAGGCTCCAGCGCGGAGAAAATGTTGCAAGAATCTACTTTCACTGTCAACGGAGCGACAGTCACTGGTCTGACATTTGAATACTAAAATTCCATGGAGATTTCTAAGTAAGTTAAAATTTTAGTCGGAAATGAGGTTTCGGTGACGACGTCCCTGACCTCGTACTTGAGAGAAACCTTGAAACTCACCGGCACTAAACTCAACTGCGACGAGGGCACGTGCGGAGCGTGCATAGTCGTGGCCAAAATTCAGCGTCCGGGAGCCACGGTCAAAGAGATGGTCTCCATCAACTCGGTGCGGATAAAATAATAATATAAAATAATAAATTAAATAAATTTCCCCCCCCCCCCCCCCAAAAGTGCTTGGTCCCGGTGCACAGCTGTCATGGCTGGGAAATAACAACCATTGAAGGAGTTGGAAATAGGCTTGGTTACCATGAGGTCCAGACTAAATTGGCGCAAAACAACGGCACCCAGTGTGGATTTTGCACTCCTGGTTTCGTCATGAATATGTTCAGGTTGATTATTTTTATTTTTTTTTATATTGGTAAGAGACTAATTAAAAAAAAAATTAATGAGACTATAAGAAAAAAAGTAATATTAAATATGTAAATAATTATTTCATGAAATTTCAAGTTTGGTATCGGATGACAAAAAACCGACCATGCAACAAGTTGAGGACTCGTTCGGAAGCAACATTTGCCGCTGCACCGGCTACAGGCCGATTCTGGAAGCCTACAAAGAGATGGCTAGTGACGCGCCACCTCCGCACCTGAAAAAGCAGTGCGCTGATATTGAGGCAGGAAATTCTCTTAATTTAAACCACAAGTTAACCTCAAATAATCATTAAAATTTAATTTATCATAGGATATTTTCAAAACTTGCACTAAAACCGGCAAACCCTGCGCCGGAGATTGCAAAAAAATTGAACCGCAGTCCATCAAAATCAACCTGGGCGCTGAAAGTTGGCGCAAGGTCATCAAAATCGAGGACTTGTTTGCAGCCTTTGCAGAAATAGGGCAAGAAAAGTACAAACTGGTGGCTGGAAACACCGGAGAAGGTTAGATCTTATTTCTAAAAATCCTTAAAATTTAATTTTTGTTTTCATCAGGGATTTACCGTTCCCAAAACGTCACTGTCTACATTGACATCAAGGACATCCCTGAGCTGAGTCAGGTGATCACCACGCCTGTTTTTACAGTTGGTGCCAACAAGACCTTGACTGAGGCAATTCGCGTCCTCAAAGGTCAAGCTGGAGCCAATGGCTACGCATATTTGACCGAAATAGCAAAACACTGGGAGGACATAGCAAGCCTTCCTATCAGAAATGTAAGACAAAAAAAATTATTTCATTGTATATTTGACTTTACAGATTAAGTTGTTTACAGATCGGAACTCTAGCTGGCAATCTGGCTCTGAAAAAAGAACATCCCGACTTTCCTTCTGATGTGTTTACTATTCTCGAAGCTGTTGGTGCACAGCTAAATATATGTTAGTATTTTATTTTAAATATTTTAGTTCTAGCTTTATTGATGCTAAATACTCGTCAATAATTCATTTCAATATTTTCATTTTTAAATAAATAGTTCTATAAAATAAACAATTAGCAATATTCATATTTAAATTTATTTTTTTTCAAAGAAATATTTGAAACTGTCAGCAAGGTCAACGCATCACAACAATGGAAAAAGTTTTGATTGTTGTTTGAGCTCTCTTGGGTACAAGTAAAGTTGTACTCGATCAGAACGCTCGCAACAATCGAAATTTACTGATTCTCCGACCCCGACTATCGGCATTTTTTTTTTTTACAAAATTCATTTAATATAAAATAAATATAAGCCAACATTCAGTTTTCAGTGTAAAAAATTATCACAGTTTTTGAATTGATCTAATATTTTCAGTGACTGGAGTTAACACTCGCGTGAAGCTGACCCTGCCAGGGTTCCTCAACTACAACATGAGCAAGAAAGTGATCGAGAGCGTCGAGTTCGCCTCTCTGGACCAGACGTACACCCTGCGCACCTTCCACGTGCTGCCCAGGTCGCAGAGCTTCGTGAGCCACGTGAACGCCGCCTTCCTCATCAAGGTCACGTCGGCCACTTCGTGGGACTTGGCCGAAGCCCCGCGCCTCGTCTTCGGGGGCATCGGCGCCCAATTCATCCACGCCTCAGCCACCGAGCTGCTGCTCAAGGGCAAAAACCTGCTGGATGCCGCTGTGGTTACGCAGGCCATCAGCACCCTGAAGGGCGAGGTCGTGCCTGACCAGGTCAAACCTGGCACCAGCACCGACTACAGGAAGAAACTGGCCGTCGGACTTTTCTACAAGTTCCTCCTCGGACTTGATCCAGACAAGGTTTTATTATCAAAAATTGATTAACTAGAAAAATTAAATTGCAATATTAATTAAGTTTTCTGCTTTCTTTTTCAAAACATAAAAAAATCGATTTTCATATTTTCTTCTTGAATGATTTTAGTCCTTAATCATTTGGATATAAAGCAATATTATTATGGAACTTTTGCCACATTTAAGGTGAATCCATTGTATCGCTCTGGCGCCGATATTATCACCAGGCCCTTATCAACCTCCACTCTGGATTATGAAACAAACGAAAGTGTTTATCCACTTAATCAGCCCATTCCCAAGATCGAGGCCCTCTCCCAATGTTCAGGTATGAACAACCAAGACAGGTAATAATAAAATTAATTTATTCATTTTAATGAATCCAGGTGAAATCGAGTACATCAACGACATTCCTGAGCGACCTGGGGAGTTGCACGCAGCGCTCGTTTTGACCAAACAGTCGACAGGAACAATTGAATCGTATGATACAGCAGCTGCCAGCGTAAATAACTTTTGTTTCGTAATAAACGTCGGACTCAAATTTAATTTAAGTTTTGTAATGGCATCTTTAACTTCCAAAATTTTTACACCAAAAATATACAGAGTTTTGAAAAGTAATTAAAAATTTTAAATATTGATGAAATTATCCTTTAAAATTTAATTGTGAAAAGATGAATTTTACAGGGTGTTCCAGGATTCATCGCCTTTTACTCGGCAGCAGATTTGGGAGACATTCCAAATACTTTCACGCCCTCCAGCGTCTATCCACAATTTCTTGATGATGAGGAGGTACATTTTTTGCAATTTTACTATAGCTTTTCTATTATTATAAGTAATTTTTTTAGATCTTCTGCAGCGGTTCAGTGAAATACGCAGGGCAGCCGGTCGGCGTGATTGTGGCCTCGAACAGGGCGGCCGCGGTACAGGCTGCGGAATTGATCGACATCAAATACAAAAACGTCACAAAACCTCTGCTGGATGTCATGGAAATCGTCAGAATGACAAAAGAACGCATCGTTGTCTCCGGCAAAGATAAGGAAAGCGAGCAGTTGCTGAAATGTAAATAATTTTTTATATTCCCTTAAAAATTTTTAAAAATAATTATTTATTGGCAGCGGCTCACAAGGTTCAAGGAAAATTCGCCATAGGAAACCAATACCCGTTGTACATGGAGAATTTGTCATGCATTGTGGTGCCAAATGAGGATGGCTTTGACGTTTACTCGTCGACCCAATGGATGGACCTGGACCAAAATGTGGTCTCCAGAACAGTTGGAGTTCCTGCGACCAAGTATGCTACCAGCTTATTTTCTTTTTGGAAAAAAATTACCGAAAATTCAAAAGGGTCAAAGTCCACGTGAAAAGGATCGGCGGTGGTTTTGGTGGGAAGCAGTCCAGGTCGGCTATTCTGGCGGCCGCCTGCTCTTTTGCGGCCAAAAAGCACAACAAAGCTGTCAGACTGATTCTGCCCTTCACTACCAACATTGAAACCACCAGCAAAAGATTTGCCCAGCGAAACGAATACGAGGCAAGTATTTTTAACTCTCCGATCAAAAGATTTTGAAAAAATCTTACCAAACTTTAATCATATTAAATTATTATTTGTTGCAGGCAATTAATAAATATTAAATACACAAATCTTTAAAAATCATTGAAGTAAAAAGATGGAACAAAATTATTTTCTTAAGTATTGCAATTCAGCTCAAATTTAATTTAATTTTCAATTTAGAAAAAAGATTGATTTATTGTGCAATTTTTTTAGAAATTTCATTCAATATTTTTAATATTTTGTTTCAAAGGTTGGATTCGACAACTCGGGAAAGATCGAGTACGCCATCATCAACATCTACCAGGACAGCGGCTGCTCGCGAAACGAGTCGCCCATGGGCATTTTCAACGCCTTCTTCACGAGCTGCTACAGTCTCGAAGGATACAAAATTCAGCCGCACGAAATAATTACCAACAAAGCTTCCAACGGACCTGTGCGAGGACCAGGTCAGACACATATAAATATTATGAAAATAATTTTTGAGAAAATAAAAAATTAAGGCCCAATCGAGGGAATCGCCTTCCATGACGAGATAATGGAGCGAATCGCCAAGACCCTGAAGAAAGACCCTCTGGAGGTGAAGCTGCTGAACATGCAGACGATGGACAGTCCTTTGCCCGGTTTGATCACAGAGCTGCAGAGAAAAGCCGATTACGCCAAGCGCAAGCAAGAAGTGGACGCTTTCAATCAGGTTTTTTTTAATAAAATTATAAAGTAGAAAATGTTAAAATAAATTAATTTAGAGCAACCGATGGAAAAAGAGAGGCATCGCCATCACTCCCATGAAATACCCGTTCTTCCTATGGAACCATTTGACCTCAACAGTGTCCATCTATCAAGGAGACGGGTCAGTCTCGATTGCCCACGGAGGAATCGAAATGGGCCAGGGATTGAATACAAAGGTTTTTTTTTAATATTTTATAATATTAATAATTCATTATTTAAATTAAATGCAGTTGTAAAATTTTAATTAGTAAAAAAAGATAAAATAAAATATTTTATTTCTAAATTTATTTAATTTTTCTCAGGTGACGCAGGTTGCAGCGCACATTTTGGGACTGCCCATTGACCAAATTTCAATCAAAGAGAGCAACACAATCACTGGGGCGAACAACAACATTTCTGGTGGAAGCATCATCAGCGAAGGAGTTTCATATGTAATTTTAAACATTTACGAAATTTGCAAAATTTCAAGCTATGTTTTTCAGGCTACGATGAAAGCGTGTCAAATTTTGCTCGACCGTTTGGCCCCTGTCAAGGCGACAATGGAAAACCCCACTTGGCTCCAGTTGATTCGCAAAGCCTACGACACAAACGTGAACCTGACTGCGCAATTCTTGTAATTGTTAACAAGCTATTTGTAAAATTTTAATAAAAAAATTTGATTTCCAGGTTTTCAAGAGACGTTCCTGACGTCAAGAATTACAACATCTGGGGCGTTTGCATTTCCGAAGTTGAGGTGGATTTGCTCACAGGCGAAAGGATGGTAATAAAAAATTTATAAAATTATATAAACTAAATTATTAAATAAATATTTATGATGAATAGATTTCTCGCGTGGATCTTCTAGAAGACGTCGGACAAAGTTTGAGTCCGCTCATCGACATCGGGCAAATTGAAGGGGCGTTCGTGATGGGTCTCGGTTATTGGCTTTCGGAGCAAATGGACTTTGACCCCGACTCTGGCAGACTTTTGCAAAACCGTCTTTGGGTAAACCATAAAATAAAATTATTTTTGCAGATTATTGACTTTTAATTGCAGCATTACGTGGCCCCTGGCGCTAAGGACATTCCGGTTGACTTCCGTGTCTACCTACGCAAAAACGCACCAAATCCGCTGGGCGTTCTTGGATCAAAAAGTAAGTAAAATTTTAACAATTAATATTTTTAATTTTATGTTTTCTTATGTTCTCTATTTATTGTAATCACCGCACATTTAAATTGTAAAATGTGAATAATTTACTGAATTTAATTCTTAATTTTTTTAGCTACTGGTGAACCGGCGATTTGCATGAGCGTGAACGTCTGGTTTGCCATTCGGAACGCTTTGGAGGCGGCGAGAAAGGACGCTGGCGGACAAGACGTGTACTTCGACATGGGTAATTTTAGGATTTTTCATTTCTTTCCTTTTAGAAGTTTATCTTTTAAAATTTTGCAGATCATCCAGCTACAAATGAGCACATCTTCCAAGCATCCCTCACTGATCCCAGTCAATTCCGTTTATAATTATGCTATTCCATCCTTTTACTATTGTCGAGGAGCTCCGTTTTCATTATACATACTTTTTTCTAATAAAATGCAAATATCGTTGCTCGCAAAATTTATAATATTTTTTTCAATTATTTTTAATCATGTGAGAAATAGAAGAAATTATTTTCCCGCAACGAAATAAACTTGATAGTATAAATTAAATTTTGATTCTTCATTTTCATCAGTTCTTGCCTGACTATTTTTCATTTGACAAAATTAATGACACAAAATTTGTAAATCGGTTCAACCGCAATCGCGGTTCGAGGATTAAACATGATCTTGTAATTAATTTTAGCGGAAAAAAATATAAAATAATGACTCACCATTATCCAGCGTATGCACTCCATAGACTCTTCTAGATCACACACAGAGGACATGGTGACAGGAACAAAAACACTGATTTTGAAGCACAAAAACGGTAAAACTCAGCGGAATGCACTGCACTAACTTGAGTCAGAAGCAAGGATCTTTTATAAGTAAAAGATCCTTGATCAGAAGTCAGAAAAAGGAAAACACACTGCACAATCCACGCATTGTTTATTGTTTTGGTGTGTACGCGTGTGGAGAATGGACAACACTGAACACGCGGGGAAGCCGGGGAACTTTGAGGGTGACAGGATTTCTCTGCTCCTTCCTGTACTCTCCATTCATCAACAAGTTTTGCACGTATGTTGGCACGTATTTTTGGTATTTGAAGCTAACGACACTAGCGACTTACTGCGGGGGTTTCTAAAAGTGAAGTAAAATTCTGGCAAGAGTTCAATGAGTCCTGGTACTTTGTTTAGCTTCTTTCTGCACCATCATCTCGTGACGTCAGCCTTGCCGGCTGCAATGCTCCCGCTTTTTTTCGCCTTTTTAACATGTTGTCATCAATCTTTTAATTATTTTCATCTTTTTGCCCTTATTTAAGAAAAGACACGTTCTGACCTTCGCTTTTTACTGAACCTGAGGTCAATTTCTATTGCATTTAACTGCAATTTCGTCGCGAGTTGTCTAAATCCGCGCTGAAATGGAAGATTCCCAACTTCACATCGGTAAGCAGGAGATTTAAATTTTTTTTATGTACTTTTTCCAATGATTTGAATTTGCATCAAAACCAACAGTTCATTCTTGGAAAACTCGTTTTGTGGAAGACAACCACGAGCACTGCGTTTCAAAGCTGAAGGAGCACGAAACATGGAAACAGGTTGGAATTAATTTTGATTTTTACTTTCTACAGTTTTGAAAATTTCCCTGTAGGTGCACTTTTATTCTGCTCCCCACTCGCACCACTACTCAAATGGCCAACTGGTTAGAATTCAGGGCATGATTCAGGATATGCACAACCCCGAGTTCTACATGTCCAAGTACACCGTCCGCAACAAAGTGACCGGCACCCGTCAAATGCATTCTGGAAAATACAAAGATGTCCTGCAAGTGGAGGTCTGTATATAAGCTTTTTTTAATTTTTAAGGTTTCATAAATTATAATTTTAGAGTGACGAGGAAATTGAATTTCATGACGACAGAGAGTTTTCCAAAGAGAGACAGAGCCTCTTTTGCATTCCGATTCCTGCCTTGAACGAGTGGGTCAAAGATGTATCCTTTTTTTTCTAAAATTAATTCATTGAAAATTATTTGTATTATTTCTGGATATGTCCTTGACAATTTAAAAGTTGCACAAGCAAAACTTGGTCCTTCCAGAGTCCAAGGAGGGTTCGGACGCTGACAGAAGAGGCCTGAAAAGGAGTGCAGAGGAGAATGAGGACGAAAACATGGATGTTGAAGACTCCGCTGGCAAAAACAAGAAACAGGAAACTGAGAAGGCAGCTGGAGGTGGTCAGGCCACGACAACACTGGAAAGCATTCAGAACTTCAGCTTTCCGATCCAAGACTGCGAGGGACATTCCTTCATTTTAAAGGTTACTTTTTTAGCAAAATTGTTTTTGAATTTATTTTAAAATAAATTTCTAGGTTTATGATTCTGAGGATTCAATTAAACTCAACTCGATGGTCGAAGTTGTTGGCTTCTTGTCTACGGACCCTGCCCTCACCTGTTTAGATGGGGGGGAAATGGACAATGATCGCAACGCAGAGCATCCTCCCCCTTCACTCGTACCACGTCTGCATGTGCTCGGCATCAACATTTTAGAGCACTGCAACCCTCTCCTTCCCTCATTCAACTTCAAGACAGGTGTGACTTGAAAATTATATGTAAAAACTTTTTCTAACAACAATTATGTATTCAGAGGCGCAAAAAGCATTTGAGTTAGCGAATGATGTTCTGCTCGACCTGAGGATTATTTTCACCCCTCTGCTTTTTGGTGACAAATTGGCTGTTGATTTCTTCATTTGCTTTCTCCTCTCAAAAGTGTAAGTCAGTTTTTTTTCAAAATCTGATTTATTATTAAGGTTCATTTTTGTAGATTTGCCCGGAAAGACGTTACGAATGTGGGGAATCTTTCTGTGAACTTCCACGAGTTGCCAAATTTGACGGATTACACAACCAGATTTTATCAAATTTTGGAGAAAATTGTCACCAAGTCTCACTACTTCCCTTTGACCATCGAAGGGCTGAACTCAAAACCATTCACACCCAAGTATATTTATAAAATTTCCTTAAATTAAGTTTCTAAATTTTTTCATCTAGGAAAGACTACACATCAAATAAGCTAAGAAGTGGCCTCTTGCAAATGTCGCAAGGAACTCTCCTGGTGTTTGACGAAACTAAATTGAATGTTGGGCAGCTCCAGGATTTAGGTAATATTTTCAGATTTTTTTTTTATTCTTATTAATAATTTTCTGAAGGAACGAGAAATGTCCTTGCTCTCAGAGGATTGCTGGAAAGGCAGGAGGTGCTCTACGACTTCCAATATTACAACACTCCTTTCCACACAGACCTGCCTATATTGATTTTTTCTGAGAAGAAATCTTTGTTTCCTGTGAGTGGTCTTTAATTTAAAAATTGCTGATTTAAATAATTGTTCAAAAACAGTGTGACGCCAGAATTCCTTTGGAGTGCGATCCCGAAGCATTGAAAGTCATCAACAGCTCTTTCGAGGCAGCCAATTTGTACCTCAAAAAGGAAGAAGTTCTCACCAGGATCAGAACTTTCCTCACAGCTGCCCAATTGGCAGACTATGAAATTGCTGATGAAGCACAAACGGTAACTAAAATAATTATGCATAATATCGAATTGTAAAATATTATTTTATTTAGAAAATTCAAGAACATTTTGTGGAAATGCGTCAGAAGGACAAAAATTTCACTGGTGACGATTTGCACATGATTTTGAATTTGGCCAGGTTTCTTTTACAATATTTTTCAAGCACGTAAAAGTTGAATTTAAAATTTTTTCAAGATTGGTCACTCTAAGCTCTGGGCAACATGTGTTGACTGTGGAAATTTGGAAGCAGGCTTGCGACATGGAGGGAGCAAGAAGAGCCCGTCTGTGAGTCAAATTCAAAGTATGTCAATCCTAAAATTAAATCTTGCAACTCACTCATTTTATAAGCCGGTATTATTTTTCTCGCAAACATATCTTGTTGAACCCCAGCAGGCCCAGTCATACCAATGATTTAACCTGAAAATATATCAGATTAGCAAAAAGTAATTTTAAATAAAAGAAATCAAGGCACATACCAAAATATCATGCATTCCTCGGACGGAAATTGCGCCGGTTCTCCTGGGGGCCAGTCCAAGTAGGTCAAAGGTGCCCCGTTGGCCCATTTGGTGTAGTTCGTCTCGCCAATTTTTGTCAGGCCAGAAAACATATAAGTGCCGTGAAGACCTGGAATTAATTTTTTTAATCATTTTGATAAACCCTAAAAAATTGCACCAACCAGCAGCCAAAATCAATCTCTGAATGCAAAAATTCCGTTCAGGCGTCTCTGCTGAGGCAATTTCCATGCCGTTTGCTTTGCATTGTAGTTTTGCATTGTCATAGGTTTGCTGTTGATTGAAAAAGAATATTTGAGATAATGAACAGATTAATTTTTATCAATTTGGTTACCGAGTCTGCTGAAATTACAAATTGACCTAGAAGCACAATTTAAATTAAATAAAAATTAATAAATGGTTAATTAAATAATTCAAACCTGGAGTGCAAATCTCCTTCGGTGATGGGTTGAATTCGCAAACGTATGGAATTGAAAGGTCGCACGGAATATCTCCCCAGATTCCATTCCTGAAGAAATTTTTTTTTTTTTTGAAACTTGTATTATGCCAGAAATATCAAAAGATCTTACTCAAAGCCAGCGCAATGTTCGCCTGACCAGGCTTTCAAATTAAACGAGACTGGGAAATCACTGTAGGTCAACAGCTCGCCATTTGCCCATCGAGTGTAGTAAATTTCGCCTATCTTATTTAACGAATGCCACATGAGGGCATCTTTTTTGCCTTGAATATGAATAATTTTGGCTTATTTCCATAATTTTAGTACACAAAGAAAAATTGGTTTTACCTGCGAGATAGATGACATACCGAACACAAACGTTTTCCTCTGGTGTTTCCATCGAAACTAAATCACCGCTTGATTTCTTGCACTCGTCCCGAGCTTGCGACCAGGTTTTCTATTTTATTTTTTTTAAAAAAAAGGTAAAATTTTCCTTTGCACGAGAAATTATTATAACTTACCGGGTCCGTTGATACCGAGTAATTTGATTCTAAAATTGAAACATAAATTTTTGTGAGGAAAAGTTATTTGTGTGCGTTTACGTCCATCACAGGGGTGTTTGAACGGATCATGACCCTCGCAGGCATACAAGTATCCACCTCCGCAGGGTGCATCGTGCCAGTGTTGGGTACTGCATTATTTATCAAATTATCATGCAAAAAAGATTTTTCTTCTCCAATCTTACTGAAAAACGACACAGTCCTCTGAAGCAAACGCCTCAGGATTTTTGCCATCCCAGTCTGTGTACATCAGATCCGCGCCGTTCAACCACTTTGAATAATTTGCCACTCGGCGTTTTTGCAAACCGATCCACGCCTGTGTTGCTCCAAGCCCTGGGCAAATTATTAGCACTAAATCGACGGCCATATTCACGTGCTATACCTTGTCCCGCTAGGTATTGTCCCAGACACATGTTCTCCTCTGGTGTTTCCAAATTTGGCAGATTCATGTTTTTCTTGAAGCACTCGAACCGTGCGTCATCAAAGCTTTTCTAAATTCAAACATTAGCAATAAAATGCAAAACCAAAAAAAAATACAAAATTAATTCACTGATTCAGTCGACACGAAGAATTTGTATTCTTGAAGAAAGAAAAAGTAATCAAAATTTTTAATTTTAAATGGTGCAATTTTTGAACATTTACTTGAGCAAATGTCTTTGGCTGCGGGTGACTCGCAGATATATGTGTTTGACCCCATGCACGGTGTATCAATCCATTCGCCATTCCTTTATTATTATGAATTATACACTGGACTCATAAAATTTCAATTGCTTACGAGTAAGCGACGCAGTTTTCTTCTGCAAACTGCGCTGGCTCGCCAGATTTCCACGCACTGAAACTCAACGCCGTCCCGTCCAACCACTGCGTGTAATTTTTCTGCCCAATTTTGTTCAAACTGTGGAAAACGAGACTTCCACTTTTTCCTGTTCAGCAAGTTATAAATTTGGCCTTGTGCAGAATTTTTTCGACTTGCCTGCCATTGCGATTTTATCTTTGATACAAGCGTGATCCTTGGCAGTCTTGATGCTGGCCAAGTCCATCGACTTCTTCTTGCACTCGGTCCTCGCGCCACCCCAGGTTTGCGTGTCAGTAGAAATGGTGAAGGTTGAAGGTACTATAATATTATTTTTGAATATAAATCAAAATACCTGATCAGTTTTAAATCAAGTTCGCAAATTTAAAATGGAAGCTAATCTTCCAGCGCAATTTGGAAAAACTGTATTTATTTTTAATAGAGTTAACTTTACAGAAAAGAGCCCTCAAAATTATTCAAAAATATATATATGTATCATTTTGAATTAAATAAAACTCACGTCCTTTGCAAAAGTCTTCGATGACCCCTTTTTCACACACATAGTATGTGGCGTGAGTGCAACCAATGTCATACCAATGCCCATCGCTGACAAGTAATTAGAAATTAAAAATATCACCAATTTTAGTATAATTTACATATTCAGAAGACAATCCTGAGTGGCAAACGCCGATGGTTCTCCTGGAGGCCACGCATTGTAGGTCAAAAGCGCGCCACTGTCCCATTTAGTGTAATTCAGTTCACCCCTCTTATTCAGGGCGGTGTAAACCCAGGCGGCACTTTGCCCTTGGAAACCACGTTGAATAATTGCACTTTTTCTCTTTAAAATAAGAAAATTCTAACCTTTCCTCAAAATTTCCCTCTGGACGCAAAAGTTTTCAAAGACGGTTTCAGCAGTTGCAAGCAGCATCCCCTTTGATTTGCACTTGATCTTGGCGTCGTCATAGGAGACCTTTATGATTGGCAATTAAAAAAATATATATTAGGGAAAACAAAATAAACATTATTTTTACAGATTCAATATTCAACTCGAATTGGCCTATTTCATAGAAGAACGTAATTAAAAATGAAAATTTTTAGTAATTTAATTAAACCATCGACGCAAAGCTCCTTAGGTGCCGGATTGAATTCACAAACAAATGGAAGTTCTGATGTGCATGGAAAATCGCCCCACATCCCCGATCTGACGTAAATGTCAATTCAAATTGTTAATCATTTCAAACTGAACCGACTCAAATGCGCCGCAGTGTTCGGTAGTCCACGCTACTGGGTTGTACGAAGGGCCAAAGTCGTGGTAGGTCAGGAGCTCCCCGTTGCCCCAGTGGGTGAAAAAAGTCGATCCCATTTTATTTAACGAGTGCCACATTCGGTCGTCCTTTTTGCCTGATTATCGAAATTTGGTTAAAAAAAAATTAATAATTAAAATAGTATTTACCCGCCAAATAAATAATGTATCGGACGCAAATGTTTTCCTCTGGCGTCTCCATTGAAGTCAAACCGCCTCCCAACTTTTTGCACTCGTCCATCGCCAGAATCCAAGATTTCTGAAAAATTTTAAAATTTTTAAAATTTTCAAGTCTGATTTGAACATACAGAGGTTGTTGAAATGTTGTAGTTGCCAACTGAAATTTAAAATAAAAATTGAGTGATCAATTTTAATTATTATTATTATAATTTTTAATTGTGTCGCACATCCGTCGCAAGGGTGTTTGAAGTCATTTGATTCGCAGCCGTAGAGGTATGAGCTAGTACATGGTGCGTCTTTCCAATGATTTTTCCTGAAGAGATGCTACGTTTAGTTTATAAATAAAGGAGTGAACTGTGAAAATACTCTGCAACGACGCAATGTTCCGAGGCAAACGACTCAGGATCGTTGACATCCCAGTCGGTGTAGGTCAAAGTTTTGTTGTTTGACCAGAAAGAGTGATTTTTCGTCATAATTTTGTCAAGACCAATAGTCACAGGCGTCGTATCAAGACCTGAAGAGCGATGATTTGGATAATATCCACGTTGAAAACTTTTCTTTTACCCTTTTCTGCAAGAAATTGACCAAAGCACGCGTTTTCTTCGACAGTTTCCAAATCAACGATTGTCATATTCCTTTTCAGGCACTCTAACATCGCTTCTTTGTAAGGTTTCTAAATCATTTTTTCTATTGTTAGTTCTGATATCTCTGTTAGACGGTTTGAAATACTTGATCGGTGGAAACGAAAAATTTGTACTCTAGGAAAATTTATTTGCGTTACTAAATGTTTTACATTTTTTAGTCTCATTTATACTTGCGCAGGTGTCTAGGGGTGCTGGGAATTCGCAGACGTAAGCGTTTGCTCCTGAACAAGCTGTGTCTAACCAATCCTTATTCCTTAAGTCAAGGAATCGATATGAGTGAAGATCTGATTGTTTTTAATATAAAAGAGAGAAAATCAAGGAGAATAAAGCTCGTTATTTTCTATGAAATTATTTATAATCTCGCATTGATTGAAACCAATTTAAAAACACAATAATTAATTTCATAAAATTACTATTATTCGTTCTTTGATGTTTAATGACAAAATGAAAATTAATAAGTATAAACAAAGATTTCTTATTGTTAGTGCTTTTTCAGATTTTTTTGTGTTGGGTGCCTTGATCAGTGAGAAATAAACAACAATGAAAAAAGAAACCCACTCAATTTTCTTATAATAAATTGGAATATAATTTTTGAATAAAAAAAGAGGGAAATTTACTGTGTGGCTCCGCAGTGCTCTGTAGTAAATTGCGCCGGTTCGCCTGCTTTCCAGTCAGTAAAAGCTGGACTTGCCCCGCTGTACAGCGAGGTATAGTTTTTCCGGCCGATTTTGTTCAACCCGTGGAAAACAATGCTTGCAGTTTTACCTGAAATTGTTTTTTTTATTTTATTTGTTATAAAATTGAAAATTAAAATTCACCAGCCAAATCAATTTTATCCTGAACGCAATTATTTTCCTTTTCACTATCAATGCTGACCAAATCGCCTCCAAGCTTTTTGCAGGCGGCTCGGGCGCCACCCCAAGTCTGCGTATCACTTGACACGTTGTATTTGGATGGGACTAAAGCATATTTTTTTTAAAATCATAAAATCAGCAGCTAGAAAATAATTACGGCCTTTGCATGGGTCATTTATCACAGTTTTCTCGCACACGTAGGCGGCGTTCCACTCACAAGGCAAATCATACCAATGTGATAATCTATGCAAAATATTTTGAAAATACAATACTTTTCAATATAAATTAATGTGAGGTTTGATATGTTTACAAATGAAGGCCGCATTGCTCGTTTGGAAACTGGGCAGGTTCTCCCACGTTCCAGTCAAGGTACGTGAGTGGCGCGTCGTTGTACCACTTGGTGTAATTACTCGCGCCGCGTTTGTTTAGCCCGTTCCACACGTACTTGCCCGACAAACCTTTATGAATTTTAAATATTTTTAGGTCAGAATAACATTTGTGTTATTTCACCTTTCTCGTCCAGCAAACGCTGAATGCAAATGTTTTCCTGTCTTGTCTCGGGAACTGACAAAGTCATTCCATTCTTTTTGCACTCCAATACTGCCGCTTCAAACGGCATCTAGAAATTCAATTTAATCACAATTAAAATTAGATTAATTATTTTTCATTTCGATTTCAATTTTCACCTCGGTGGGGAAAGCAACAAACTGGTCTGTGAATAAAAAAAAGTAATGAATCGTCATGAGTTAATGAATTAAAATGTACCCAGATAATTGATAGTGTGCGAGTGGTTTTTCTATTCTTGTTAGTGTTAATTAGTGTCTTTGTTTGTGTTGTAAAGTGTAAGCAGTTTCAGAGTTTAATTTTTAAGAAGGTTTTTACGTGGATATACTGAAACTGAGCGAGAAAAACTTGGCTTTAAAGAATGGAATACAAACCAAAATTTTGAATTTTAATTGAGAAATTTTTGCTCTGTTTACCCTAATTTTCTGAGTTTTAATTGAATTTTTTTATTTTTAATAGTGACTCAAAAATATTAATTTTTGAGACATTTTAAAAAGTAATTTCTCAATTAATAGTCAAAATTTTGTTTTGTATTAATTCTTTAAAGCCAAGTTTTTCTCGCACAGTTTCATTAAATCCACGTAAAAACATCTTAAAAATTAATATGTACCTGGGTCGCAAGGATCGATTTGGGAAGACTCGCAAACGTATCGCAATGTCCACGTACAAGGCACGTCACCCCACTTTCCATATCTTTACGTTTTGAAAACGATTGAAGTGATTAATATTAAATAAGAGGCCTTTGTTTACTCGAAAGCGCCGCAACTCTCCCAAGGCTTTTGTAAAGGATTTCCAGGAGACCAATCGTTGTAAGTGAGGGCCTCGCCATTGCCCCAAGTGTTGAAATCGGGTTGCCCAAACATATTCAAAGAGTGCCACACGCGGTCGGCCGCCGTTATCCCTGCCAAAGATTTGTAACAAAAGAATCTAAAATAAAAATTGTTTTCCACTGACCTGCCGCCTTCAAAATAGATTTGACGCAAATATTTTCCTGCGGCGTCTCCATCGAAGTCAATTCCATTCCCTTTTTCTTGCATTCAAGTCTCGCATTAGCCCAAGTTTGCTTTTTTTTAAGTAAAGTTTAGAAAACGTTATTTTTATTTAAAAATTTCAAATATGTGTCTTACTGTGTCATTTGATAAAAAGTGAGTTGTGGTCACTAAGTTTGTTTGTTTTTTAAATCATTTTAAATTAAATTTTAAAATTTAGAGTTGGCTTTCTTACTGTTGAAACAAGGGTCTAAAATGACTGTGTCCTCACACGCGTAATTATAAGCGCCGGTGCACGGAATATCCAACCAGTGGTACAAACTGCATTTAAAGTAAAAATTAATTGTTTTCTTCAATTCTCGTAACAAACTAAGAGCCGGCGCATTTTTCAGTTCCGAATTGCGCGGGATTTCCCGGAGACCAGTCCGTGTAAGTGAGAGGTTTTGCGTTCACCCAGGCCGTGTAGTTTTTCATGCCCTCCATGGTCAGTCCGATGTGCACCGTGTCCTTGTCCATCCCTGCAGTTAAATTTTGAAATTAAATATTTCAGTAAAAATGCGCAAATTGTTTGTTTTCTTTCCTAAAGAAGCGAGTTGGCGTTGAAGGCAAATGTTCTGGTCAGGCGTTTCCAAGCTGACCAAATCCATTTTAGTTTTTAGACATTCAGCCCGAGCGTCGTCAAAACTCAGCTTGTTGGTTGAAATGAAAAATGGTTTCTCATCTAATTGATACAAGAACATTATTTACAAAAGATTCGCTAAATAATTTAAATTAGGGAATAAATTGCTTTCATCATATATAAAATTTAATGAAAGTTGATACAATTTTATTGATATTTTGTTTTTTGGACTAAAAATTTTATTACTGGTGGCATTTTTTTTTTTTAATGGCACTCACTTGAGCACATGTCGAAAGGTTGAGGCGTTTCACAAATGTAATTGTGTAAATCAACGCAAGGAGCGTCAGCCCATTTGTCTTCCCTGCAATAAATAGTGATGCAAACTAAAAGATGATATAATCAATTGATTACCAAATCACAGCGCAATCTTCGGTAGCAAAGGCGGCAGGTTCGCCCGCCTTCCAGTCATTGTAGGTCAATGCTTGGCCGCTCAACCACTGCGTGTAGTTCAACTGGCCCATTTTGTTCAAAGCCATCAAGTAAATTGTGCTCGTTTTTTCTGCCAAAAATATCATTTTCAGATTTAAAAAGAAGGTTTTTGAACTTTTAATACTGTTAGTCGAGATTAAATGCTTGACGCAAACGTTCTCTTCCACCGTCTCCAAATTCGCCAAATCCATTCCTTTCTTTTGACACTCAACTCTTGCTTTCCCCCAGCTTAGCTGCTCATTTGTTAATTATGCAAACATTATTTGGAATTACTTTTATAACAAACCATATCCACCGAAAAAGTGTAATTTGATTTAGCTAGTTCAATGCAATTCATAATTTTTTTATTAAAATAAAATTGCAACAATATAATTACAGTTATAACAAGGTGGCGGAGGTGTCGTCGGGGCAGCAGTTGACAACCCGCCAACAACCGTGGTTGCTGCACCAGTTGAATTAGTTGAAGCATTATTTGTCCTGGTAAAATGTATTTAAAAAAAATTATAAGACTTTTGCAATTTGCGTATTTTTTTTTTTTTTTAAATGCGTCACTAGCACAACTCAGGAAGTGCTTTCATAAAAATTTTTCAACGCAATAAATTTGCTTTTCCCAGATCACCAATGTGGAGCCGCGGCCGGGAAACGCAAAAATTAAAATGTGAACATTGAATTTTTACTCTGGATTCTGCCCCAAATTTTGACTAAATCATTGACTATTATTTAAAAAATCTTACGTTGCGCCTGGTGCGGGGGCATTTGTAGTTCCACCTTGAACCGTCGGCCCCAATGTAGCTCCAGGAACTGCAGTCGTGTCTAGCGGGTTGATTGGCCCGGTGCCTGCAGGAGCTCCAGGGAAAAGAGTGGTTTCTCCAGGCACCGTCTCCGGAGGTAAAATCGTATTTCCGGCGGCGTCGGTTACTGGCGCTGGCGTTTCACCAGGTCCCAAGGTGGCACCTAAAATCTCAAGACAGATGCTTGCGTACTTTTTTTTGTATTTACGAAAACTTTAAATATCATTCTTTAAATAGATTAAAAATTATTCATTTAATAATATTTTTTTAAGTCTCATTATTATGATATTCATCGGATGACAAAACGCTCACAATTAATAATAACAACCAAATTATGATTTTTCAATTTTAAAAACGCTGTCTTCAATTATTTCTGTTAAATCACCTGGATTAGATGGATCTATTGTCGCTCCAGGAACAGCTGGGTTTAAACCTGGGATTGTCTGTCCTGGCGCAAGATTTTCGCCTGGAGCGAGAGTTTCTCCTGGGCCGAGTGTTTCTCCTGGGGGAATTGGTGCTCCGCCCGGATCAGTGGGTCCCGCTGGGTCTACTGGAGGGTTGCTTCCTCTAGCAGGAGTAGTCGCTGCCTTCCCTGGCACCAAAGTGGTCCCTTTTTGACCAACTTTTGTTGTTTTCGTAGGCACATTTCTTCCTGGTTGAGATTTGGTGCTGTTGCTGGTGCATCGTTTTATGCCGCAGCACTTAATGATCTGTTTCCTTTTTTGCAGCTTTTTTATATAAACTATAGTTCGTCGAGGACTTCGTTTTAATATTTGGTGCTCTGGCAAAGAAGCTTCTGTGAGAAATTCTGCAAATGATTTATAAAGCGTTATGATTTTCATTTTTTTTTCAATCAGCAAAAAACAGTAAGTGTACTTCAATCCTAGAAGAAAGGAATTTAATAATTTTATATCATTAACATAATTTTGGGACGCTTAATTTTTGCACGCTTAAAAGTAAAATTTGTCATTTAAATGTTGTTGCAATTTTTTTTTGTATGAAAACAGTATAATTTATCTTGAGAAAAAACCTTATATTACTGATCAATCTGATCTAAATTAAACAGTTGTAATTAAAAATATAAAAGCTTATTCTGAATTATATAATTTTAAAATGGTTTAAAAAATTAAAGTTCTTACCAGAACTAAACAAAACTTTGCGGCTCCTGTTGTTAACTTCTTTGTCTTGTAATGATACTCCGTAATCAGCAATAGTTGCCTAGTGAGTAATAAAATGTAAGAAATAAGATATTTACATATTCGTTGTTTTGTGTAACATTTACCATTACAGCGAACATTACGAGACACGCCACATTGCACATGTTTTCGTTTGCGCAGCTTCAGTGACTAAAGGGACATTTTTTGGGTTTTGCAACCTTGTGGCGCTAGTTATTAAAAACTGAAAAAGTTGACGTTGACGTTTGTGGCTCAATACGCAGGTTGACGCGGACGTGACGATTTATTGCCCATAGCGTTTGTTCTCTGCACATTTCCATGCACGTGACGGAAGTTGGCATCAATGATTTGCTTCAATAGAATTTTTTTTTATTTCTATACAATGTGCATAAAATGTGAAATTTTACTAACGTCATCAAGCCAACAATACTTTATTTTATTTGCGTGCAAAAAATAGAACCGTACTTTGCAAATAATTAAGAGCTAACACTCTTAAGTGTTCCACGTCGTTAATATCTCTTAAATTAATTAAAATATATCCGCTCTATTGTGGACGAATCCATAACTTTAATTTACAACGTGGTACATTTTTTCAGCATTAATTATTACACAATCAACTTAATCTAGAAATAAAAATTAAAAAGTATAAAAATGGAAGCCCAAGTTTAATTCATCAAATAATGAACACCCATAGGTACAGTATTCCCAAAGAAATATCATGAATTCTACAAGAGATTCCCCATGAAATTATATAAATTATTTTGTAAATTTAAGCTTACTTAAAATTTAACAAAATCCCGAAATTAATGTGAAAAAAATTAATTCAAAAAAATTGTCATAAATTAAAAAAAGAACAATTAAAAAGAAACCAATAAATATGAATTTAATTGTAAGCCAAATATTAATTTCTAAATAAAAATAATATTACTTGGAATGAAAAAAAGCTCTCCAAAGCAGTGGCAATGCCACAGCCACAGTCAAGACAAAAATAATTGTGGGAAAGGAATAAATTATTTATTAATTTTTCACATCAACGGTCTACATAATGACAGTGTCCTCGCAAGCGTAATTGTAAACGTTGGTGCACGGAATGTCCAACCAATGGTACAAACTGTAAATAATATCAAAAATGAATTATTTCCCTCAATTCTCGTAACAAACTAAGAGCTGGCGCATTGATCAGATCCGAATTGCGCGGGATTTCCTGGAGACCAGTCTGTGTAAGTGAGAGGTTTTGCATTCACCCAGGATGTGTAGTTTTTCGTGCCCTCCATGGTCAGTCCCATGTGAACCATTTCTTGTTCCATCCCTGCAGTCCAATTTTGGAAATTAAAGATTTCAACAACGAAAATTAAATTCTTTCCCAAGGAAGCAAGTTGGCGTTGAAGGCAAATGTTCTGGTCCGGCGTTTCCAAGCTGACCAAATCCATTTTGGTTTTTTGACACTCAGCCCGAGCGTTGTCAAAACTCAGCTTGTTGGTTGAAATGGAAAATGGCTTCACACCTGCAAGAAAATTAGAAAATATAAATTAAATTATTTCAACTAGAGAGAGTGAATTTTTTAGATCAAAAATGCAAATCATTTATAATTAATAATTTGAATGTTTGAGAACAATTATCAATAATTTGATATTTTACTAATTTATTGTATAGTACTTTTTGTCTTATGTTTTCTTTAATAAAAATAAAAAATGGCACCAACTTGAGCACATATCGAAAGGCCTAGGCGTTTCGCAAATGTAATTTAGAGAATGAAAGCAGGGAGCATCAAACCATTTGTCTTTCCTGCAATACAATGTGATTCCAAATCGCGATTTAATCAATTGAATACCAAATCACAGCACAATCATCGGTAGTAATAGAGGCAGGATCGCCAGGATTCCAATCGTTATATACCAGTTCTTGGCCACTCAACCACTGCGTGTAGTTCGACTGGCCCATTTTGGTCAAAGCAATCCAATAGATTTTGTTCGTTTTTTCTGTCGCAAACAAATATATTCAAAATTGAAAAGAAACTTTATTTCACCTAGTTATATTACGATTAGCTGAGATTAAATGCTTGACGCAAATGTTCTCTTCCACCGTCACTAAATTCGCCAAATCCATTCCTTGCTTTTGGCACTCAATTCTTGCTTTTCCCCAGGTTTGCTGCAAATTTTAAAATTACACTAAAAAATTTAATAATTAACAAACTAAACAAACCGTTTCCATTGAAAAAGTGTAATTTGATTTAGCTGTTTCATTGCAATTGAAACAATTTTTTATTATAAAAGGTTAAAAATATAAATTAAAATTTACAATTATAACAAGGAGGTGGAGGAGTTGTTGGGACAAGAGTTGTTGATGTGCGAGTCACAACTGTGGTTGGTGCAGTTGTTGCAACACTAGAAGTAGTTGATTTGCTTTCACTGGCAAAATAATTCAAAATATACTTTAGATTGTACAAAATAAGTAATTTAAAAATAGGTTTAATTACATACAGTTAAGTCACACACTACATCAAGATATTCAGAATTTTACTGGAAATGCTTTCAATAAAACAGATTTGCTTGAAAAGGCCTAAAACTTTTTCCACATTTGCATGTAGATTTCTCATTTGGGAGCTAATTAACTTTTTTAATGTCCGTTATCCTATCCAATATCAATGAGTTACTTTAATAAACTAATAAATTAATTTGACTTCATATCTCAGCATTAGTTTTGTCCTTTTTTCATTACTAGAAAAAAAAGAAAAAAACTAGTCAAGGGTTAAAAAAATTTTGGTTGGTTTATTTCTTGAAAACCAAAGCTCGAAATCAATCAATCAACAATTTTTTTCTTTCTAAATTTGGAGGTTAGTTTTGAACTTGCAGCTTAAGTAAATACCAAGGAAGCTATATTAACTTAATTAAAATTAACAGAAATTTATCTTACACTGCTGTAGTTGTGCCTGGTGTGATGGCATTTGTTCCAACTTGGGCAGTGGAGGTCAAAGTTGTCGTGACCGCAGAGGTTGTGGTCGTGACACTTGCGTTTGTGATCGCGTTTGTAGTCGCAGGTGTTGTGGCGCCATTTAAAGTGCTGGTGGTGTCGATTGGCCCTGTACTTATTGGAACACCAGATGTCATAGCAGGAGTACCAGGGTCAATGGTGGTGTCTGCAGGCGGCTGCGTCTCCGTAGCAACAATTGTAATGCCGGCTTCGGTTGTTGACGCTGGCGTTTCACTAGGGCCCAGGGTGAGACCTAAATAAATGAGACGACTTGGACTCCTGATTCATTCTTTTGAGCAAATGACGCTAGTATGGTTGATTTTTTTATTGCAAATAACGTTATCTCTGTCTTAATGGTTTTTGTGTTTTGCAAAATTTAGAATTTAAAATATAATAAAAAAGCTTGGTTAAAACTTTATATTTAAAATAATTTCTGATATAAACAAATAATAAACTTTTTCATTCCCACACGCTAACTTTTCTAAAGCATATTAAATTCAATATTCTAATTTTGAAAATGTAAAAGTGAATCAATCACCTGCATTAGATGGAATCTCTGTCGCTCCAGGCGTTATTGTATTCGGCACTTCAGCCGGAGCGACGATTTCGCCTTCAGCTGGAGTTTCACTGGTAAAAGGACCATTTTCGGTAGGTCCTTCCGTATCTGCTGGTGGGCTGGTCTCGTCAGCAGTGGAAGTCACTTTCTTCCCAGGCGCCAAAGTGGTCCCTTTTTGACTATCTTTTGTCGTTTTCGGAGGCGCTTTTGTTTCTATTTGGGTTGTGGAGCTGTTGCTAGTGCATCGACGCATCCCACAGCATTTTATGATATACTTTCTTTTTTGCAATCTTGTTACATAAATGATTGTTTTTCGAGGACTTCGTTTTACAATTTGGTGCTCATGCGGAACTTCTAAATGATATTCGACAAATGATTTGAAATGTGAATGGATTAATGCTGTATTTCCTGCTATGTACATATAAAAATCACTAAGCAGATCATTAATTGTTTGTAAAAAAATCCATCCGTTTGGTTTGCATTAAAAAAATTAGACTTGATTAGTGAATAAAAGTGAAAAATATGCTTATCAAAATTTTCAGTCAGAAAATGGCTATTTTTTTTTATAGGCAAACACGTTATGGTAAGATAAAAAAGTTATAAAATAGCTAAATGTTTTAAAAAACTTTTTCTAACAATAAAATTGATAATGCGACAAACACACGTTTTGTAATTTGTTTTATCTCAAACGTGTCGAAAAGTACAGTGTCTTAATATAAAACTGGCCTGGACGTACATAATATGTGTCCAAAAATGCAGTGAAAATTTAATTTAAATTTATTTATTTATTTCGCCAATGATTTATCATCGCAGTTATTAATTTTTGTTAACCGATTAACTTACCAGAACTAAACAAAAGCGTGTGTTTCTTGTTGCTACCTAACACTTTGGGCAATAATGGTGTACCGTAATCGAGTAGCGTCACCTGTTGAAAAAAAATTGCCAACACAAATAAAAAATCACAACAGTTTTCAATTGGAGCATTTTTACCAGTAGTACTAACATGACAATGAATGCCGTATTATTTTGCATGTTGAATTTTGAGTTTTGAGCAAATTGTTAAACTTGCGTGGCCAAAATCTGAAATATATGTTTGCGGCTCAATTCATAGAAGCGGCGGATGCGATTCCAGCCTGCGTTCTGGATGTTCTCATAACGGACTTCCGCTTTACTGGTTTGGTTTTTGAAACTACTATATTGCTCATTTTTGCTATCAAGCTCAATTTTTTAATAATTTATAAATTCAGTGTAAAATAGAAAACGAGGCAGCAAACGAAAAAAATAGATACAACCATGCAACACTATACTATCTTGATGGATGCCAATTTTACAGTCACAATTCATGTTTTATTTACATCAATTAAAGATTTTTTAATCAATTCAATGTGGACAAGTCCGAAATATTTTACATTAGTTGTCATTGAGAGGGACATTAAATTAAAATTTTCAATTTATTATTTTATTTCATTCACATTCAATAGCAATCAAAGTTGTTTTAAACTATTTTGAGTTATGAATAAAGATATGTAAGTATTTACAAAAATAAATATGTGTGCCCAATGAACTGTACAGAATATATAATTATAATTAAAATAAATAAATTATGATTTCAAAGTTAACTCTGAAAATTTAGAAATTTTTGCATAAACTTCAAAATTAATTTCTTGTATCCCGTATTTTTACCACCGTTTTTGATTTGAAATAACAATATAGTGATAAAAAATATTATAGTTGCACAATTTATGGATTTTAAAACTTTTCGCATTATTTTTCATGACAGCTTAATAAGCGGCCTGCAAACCAACAAAACGCAACCTGCTCGATTAGTAGGTCGCGCAGGTTGCATAATTATAGAAACTTACGACTTCTTTTGGCTGCGGTTTTTACTTTAAGATTTAAGTTTTATGTTTCTTAAATTTTTCATGAAATCAACCTTCAACCATAAGTGGAAAAATTTCAATTCGATAAACTCTGAAGAAAATATTTATGTTTGGTTGAAAATCTTTTTTGTTTTGGTGACATTCAGCTTATTTTGATCACAAAATTTGTATTTATTACAATTTCTCAATTATTCGGGTCAAAAAGCTTTCATATCGTGTAATAGGAATTGAAAAGCAATCATGTTCCTGGACAGACCAACCCCGTTGAAGACTGACCTCGCAGATTTATGTTGACCTGGCAGGTGCGGAGCATATCCCAAGCTAGCTGTCCACCTCGTCACAAAAACAGCAATGTTTCGCAAGTAGGTGACCCTAAATTTCCTCGTCACAATAACCATCCTTCTTATGATTCAAGCTAAAAATTAGAGATTTTGCCCCCTGAGCTGTTTAGATACTCTTTAAATATTTTCACTTTGTAGCATTCGAAAAAGAAATTTGATCCGATAATATTTAATATTTAATAATGCCTACTCTATCAAAAAATATGCTATTGATATTAAAGGATTCTGTTAATATTAAACAATTTCATTCTAAATAAAGCCAGGGCAGAGAAGCGCGCGCACATGAATGGCACATCGCTTTCTTGAAGGTCACATGCAACAACTTGGCCGCTGATTCAAGACGAAAATGCGGTGGCTTTTTTCACCATGGAAAATATGGGTGCTAATTTGATTACGCGCCAAGTAATAGGATCTTCGTATTGATGACGTTTTTGTAGCAAAGTAAATGTTGTGAATATATAATATCACATTTAAAGAAAACGTGACTATAATAAATTAACATAAATTTGGAATAAAAAAATTAGGTGAAAATCAAACTAGCACATATTTATCAAATGACGCTAAATTCCAGACACTGGAGTTTTAGTATTTTTACATCCAATTGAATCTTGCAATTAAACTCACTCCTCAGGTAATATAATTTTAGTATAACAAAATAAAATTTACGATGAACTTTATTTGAAATCAACTAAGGAATCGTCCCATTGTGAATAAAAGAATATAGCCAATGTACAGTATTATAAAAGTAGGGAGGCGCGCGCATATCAATGCCCGTTGCTTTTTCTTGTATATGCCACTCGCAACACGCAACTTCTTGGCCACCAATTCAAAGGGTTATTTTTTTGTCTTCAAAGAAAATAGGTTGCTAATTTGATTACTGGCCAAGTAATTGGATCATTGACGACGTTCGTAACAAAATTAATGAATAAAAAATCTTACTTTGTAGCATATTATATTTTGGAAATTAAATACAATAAGAAAATTATTTTCTTTTTTATTTTCTACTTTACTAATAGTACTTAATTATGCTGAGTTTCAGTTGACTTTAATTTTAATTTCTGGTATGCGAACAAGATGAAACCTTTTAATTATTCTGTGTTGAAGAGATTGATTTATTGAAAAATTAAAATTAAAAGCAGGTGAGATTATAGAATCATGTTTATCATGTGATTATTTGCAATACAGACGAAATTCAATACTTTTTGCAATAACATTAAACTTAAATAAAAAATAAATGAAGCTGTTATGACAATATTATAATAAAAACAGTAAAAATGCATATGATAGTTTTAAAAACTCAGAAGGGTCAAATTATTTCCGCCTTTTAATGGGAACATCTAAATTACACTGGTGAGAAGGGGTTGCGCGCGCGTTTACGCAATGGTGATGGAGAAAATTCTCAAGACGGAGGAATTGTACGGCCTCTAATGTGACTTTCGGCCCGGAAAAGAATTAAGAGGATGCGTGGTTATCCAATTTCTGGCGGCGTCTTGCGTGCTAATGTCATTACAAGGCAAGATGCGCGCAGTTGAAGGCACTGGTATAAAAGGGTTGGAGGCCGGTCAGAAAGCAATCCAGTCGGGAGATCCTCACTGACCAGCAGAAGACCACTGAAGTAGTTCGCAGTCCGCTGATTTTCTTCAGTTCACACTCACCATGAACGGTCCTTCGGTCAGTGCTTTCAACTATGGCGGCGGCTTCAGCGGCAACACCACCGTCGTCGACACCGTCCCGCCTGAGATGTTGCATCTCGTGGATCCTCACTGGTAACACACACAAAATCCACTTTATTTTGATTATTTTGCTTGAAATTTAAATAGAGTTTAAAACTAGATTTAAATTTTTATTATCATATCAGGGATGATTGCAACGGCCGGTATTTTATTTAATAGCTTTTTGACCAATTTTGCCACAGTTAAATTAAAATATAGCCAGACTCTGCCAATTTTGATCTTGAAAAGTTCAAATTACATCTTCTAAAGAATCCAGATAGAAAATAACACAAATATTTTGCTTTCAGGTACCAGTTCCCTCCTCTGAACCCTCTGTGGCACGCTTTGTTGGGCTTCGTCATTGGCGTCCTCGGCGTCGTCTCGTTCTGCGGCAATGGAATGGTCCTCTACATCTTCGGCACCACCAAGGGCCTGCGATCACCCTCCAACCTGCTGGTCATGAATCTGGCTCTTTCCGACTTCCTCATGATGATCACTATGGCCGCCCCAATGGTTATCAACTGCTACTACGAGACCTGGGTCCTAGGTGAGTGTACCTTTAGTCAATAATCTGAACAAAAAGTGACCATGAGCATCTATCCAAAGGACCCTTCTTCTGCGAACTGTACGCTATGTTTGGCTCAATGTTCGGCTGCGGCTCCATCACCACAATGGTATTCATCGCCTTCGACAGGTATAACGTGATCGTCAAGGGCATGTCAGGCACCCCTCTGACCAGCAAGGGCGCCCTCCTCAGGATCTTCTTGCTCTGGGCCCACGCAGCTTTCTGGACTTTGGCACCTTTCTTCGGATGGAGCAGGTACAAAATAAATTCAACCAATACATTCTTGTTCTAAATCAAAGGTCGCAACAAACAGGTACGTTCCTGAGGGCAACATGACCGCCTGCGGAACCGACTACTTGAACAAGGATTGGTTCAGCCGCAGCTACATCTTCGTCTACTCGTTCTTCTGCTACTTCTTCCCTCTCTGCGGAATCATCTACGCTTACTTCTTCATCGTGCAGGCCGTCGCTGCCCACGAGAAGAACATGAAGGAACAGGCCAAGAAGATGAACGTGGCGTCCCTGAGGACTGAGGACAAGGCCCAAAGCGCGGAGTGCAAACTTGCTAAGGTACCAAACAAATTAAGCTTGCTGTCATGATCCTGACCTGCTTTCCTTCAGGTTGCCCTGGTAACCATCTCCCTGTGGTTCATGGCCTGGACGCCCTACCTGGTGGTCAACTATATGGGCATCTTCGACGGTGCCGCCATCACACCCCTGACAACTATCTGGTGCTCAGTTTTTGCCAAGGCCAGCACCGTATACAACCCCATCGTCTACGGCATTAGGTAAAAAATTTTAACAAAACATCTTTTGGTCAACTTTAATGAAACTTGTTTCCTTTCCGCAGCCACCCTAAATACCGAGCGGCCCTGTACAAGCGCTTCCCTAGCCTAGCGTGCAACGCGTCCAACGACGACAACTCGTCGGCCGCGTCCGGCTCGACCGTGTGTGCCGAGAGCACGGCAGCTCCCGCCTAAACGACCAGCAGCCCTTTCACTCCCGACGGACTCGACTAGGATCTCTGCTGATGACAAAACTCCGCGCACCAACCGATGAACTGAATAACGAAACTAAACTACACACTGCAAGAATAGTCTCTCTGCACTTATTTTTTCTAAAAAAACACACACACTCTCTATAGCTCACTAGTAGTTCATAAATTCGATTTGAGTCACACTATTTTAGTTCAGGAAGTAATAAATGTAAAAAGCCCAAAAATAAAGAAAAAACTGCAACTGAAATAAAATATACTGATTATGATTCACCATTCAAATGCCCCTAACAACAGCAATCGATTTTCGCCAAAATTGGCACCACCAAGAGAAGTCTTAAATTGCAAAGGCTTCTCCTTTAGCTTCTTATCTGTTGACGTCGTCGTTTGTTATTAACATAAGACATAGGAGAGCAATGTAATTTTTAACAGCATTTTATTTTTTCACAAACCACAAGCATATTTTTCCTACCGACCTGTTACTTTTATTTGAATTTGAACCATGAAAAAAAAGCTGATACGTAACTTTTTTTATGTGCAGTAAAGTGAGAAAAAGTTTTTTTTATTAAATAAATCTTACAAAAAATGGTAAATTTAGTAAATAAGGGTTTTGTTTTCTTATTGTAAAACGAATCGAAATATCTTATATTAATTTCAGACTTGACTTGAGGATGATAAGAGAGATTAGACAATGGATAGCAATGGAGCAAAAATTACTTTTCTGCTTGGAGTTTTATTTAATCTTGAATCATTGATATATGCGCAAAACATCCCATTTTGTCAATAGAACGCGGTTAAATATGATTTGCTGGATTCTGTTACAATTTTTCTCTTAAAACGGTAAAAAATGCAACTGCTCTGCATTTAGATAAAAACGCACTGGACGGACTAATAAAAATGAGGATGGACCCACGTGGAAAAATTGGAAAAGGAAATCCATGAAGAGAACGGCAGAAAAAAAGTTTAATTAATTCATGAGATTAAAAAGTCTAAGTTTGCTATCTCATGGATGTCTTTTAAAATTTATGTCTTCAGTTTTTACGCTAATATTGTTTCGATAATTTCAATTTTGTTTTAATGTGCATATTTTAATATTTAATAATATTTATTTAATACACTATAAAAGTTCTAGCAAAAAGAAAAATAAAAGACATATTATCCATATTATAATATCTTTTTCAATGCGCAAATGAGGTGATGATGATAATAAAAACTTGAATATAACAATAAAAAATTATTGATTTCTTTTTAGCTTTACCAAAAATAAATAAAAGAGATTGGAGATGGCTTTCTGCAAGGCAATAAAAGATACAGGCATATTTTCTTGGCCCGGAAAAAATGCAAAAGTTAATACATACAATATGTAAGATCCAGGTTTGAAAATCTCAATGTAATATCAAATTATTAAAAAATAATAGCACTGTCGAATTTAATGGCACAAAAAATGTTGAAAAGCTTTCCAGTTTTTAGTGAAATTGACAATATATGTTGGCTAAACCTAATCTAAAAATTTAAATATTTGTTGCAAAAATTAAACTGTTGCAATATATATTAAAAGAAGCATTTACACGTCACACGCTTGTTGTGCGTCACTTTCACGTGTCTTTCTTGTATAAGTCACGTTTTGCAAAAATTAAACTGTTGCAATATATATTAATATTATATATAAAGCCATTTATTATGCAGATGATATTGTTTTAACCTCAGAAAAATTAAGTGACTTGAAAATTGCTTTAGCCAGAATGAAAGAATTTTTGTTAAAACGCAGTTTGAAACTTAACTTGGAAAAGTGCAAATTCATGAAATTTAGAAATAAGGGTCTAGGAAAATATGCATTAAGTGACCGCCTAGATTTAGGTGGAATTGAAATAGAGAGAGTTGCTGAGTTTACATATTTAGGAGTTACTTTTCAACCATCAGGAATCTCTTTTGGAAAGCACATTGAAAAAAGAACAAGAGCTGCATTGCTGGCCACTTATAATATACGAGAACTAAAACAATTATCCATTGAAACAGCACACAAGCTATTTGATCTAAAAATTTCCCCAATTGCGTCCTACGGCATTGAAGAAATATGGCCTTTCCTAACAAAGACTGATTTTGAAAATCTTGAAAAAGTCAAAACAAGATATTTAAAAAGAGTTTTAGGACTGTCCAAGTATATTAGATCTAGATTTGTGTATGAATTAGTTGACACTGATCTCTTTGTATCGGACTTACAGGTAAAATATTCTCTAACTGAAACTGAAGCATTCCAGAAATTTTGTGTGTCTAAATATTTAAACAAACTTGAGATATGTGATGAGTTCTACGAGACAGAAACTATGAAGAATAAAAATTGGCAATGTGCAATGTTCAGTGATCGCCAAGTGTTTACGAGATTTGCCTGTCACGGGTACCACTATTTATTTTGTAAGAATAAAAATTTTCATTCTCAAGCGACAATAGATTGTGAATGCAAGCACTGCGGTAAGAAATGTTCACAATATCATATTCTTGAATGTAATGAACGAAAACTAAGCCTAAGAGAGGCTGCAAAAATCAAAATTAACTAATTTTGTACTTTGTAATAATTATCGAAACAAGCTTAATTGTAAAATTAATTTTAGGAAGACAAATTAGCTTTAGACACCCGTTGTACACCTAGTTGTGTTCAATAAATACTCTATCTATTTTGCAAAAAATATACATCAGGATCGAGGTGGAGATTAGAATTTGTATTGAACCTCGTCGAATCAATTTAATAGTAAAATAGGCTAATTTAATTACCTATCCTCAGACAACGGCGACCATCTGCGGCCAACGACAATAATTGCATTATATTTAATCGCAAATGGTCCCGTAATGCATGCGTATATTTGGGGGTGCTAGCAGTACGACACGTGAGGGGGTGCTGCACAATATAGATGGCCTCTCGCACGACGAGGGCTGATAATTAATTTTCTTAAGACATCTTTAAGGTTTCTGCCTTGGTGGAGGCTGCGGCTGCCGAAATCCAATTTAGCCCGCTAACATCATTAGCATTGGACAGGTGCGCGAACGCATTCGCACAGCCCTCGCCAAGTATAAAAGGGCCTGCAACCCGACAGACCAACGAGCCGCATCCGAGAGGGTTTAGACGGACTTCCTAGCTTCCCAGGCTTAACTTCGCAAACTGAAGTAGTTCGCTGTTTTTAACAACGATTTTCTCTCAACGTTTGTGTTAACTCTACACTATAACCGGGTAAGTTGAACACAACTCAAACTGAAATTTGATAACTAAAATTCACAACCTTTGGTTGTTCCTTTTTCTTCAACTATAAAAATGATAATAATGAAACTTTATATATTTTTTTTTTAACAAATATTACATAATATAATAGTAGAAAATTATAATAAATGTAAGAAAATTGCAAACTAATGAAAGAATGAAAACTTATAATGATAATTAATTGATCATTTTAGAATCATGCCTGGAATTGCTGAGCCAAGCTTTGCCGCCTACCAACAACAGTGGGGCAACAATGGTGGCTGGGGCGCCAACATGACCGTTGTAGACAAAGTTCTGCCTGACATGCTGTCGATGGTCTCTCCTCACTGGAACCAGTTTGCGCCGATGAACCCCCTGTGGCACGGCCTTTTGGGCTTCGCCATCGGCGTTCTCGGTGTCATCTCGATCATCGGCAACGGAATGGTCCTCTACATCTTCTCTAACACCAAAGGACTGAAGACTCCCTCCAACATGCTCGTGATGAACCTGGCATTCTCTGACTTCCTCATGATGTTCACCATGGCTCCCCCCATGGTCATGAACTGCTACTACGAGACCTGGGTTTTCGGTAAGATTCCAATTCACTCGGGAATTCCGATCTAAAGATTTTCCTCTCTCAGGACCCCTGATGTGCGAGCTGTATGGAGCTCTCGGCTCCTTGTTCGGATGCGTCTCAATCTGGAGCATGACCAATATTGCCATGGACAGGTACAACGTCATCGTCAAGGGACTGTCTGGCGAACCCCTGACCAGCAAGGGCGCCATGATGAAGAACCTCTTCGTGTGGGCCTTCTCTCTTGGATGGACCCTGGCTCCCTTCTTCGGATGGGGCAAGTACGCACCTGAGGGCAACATGACCGCCTGCGGAACTGACTACTTGAGCCAGGACCTCGTGAGCCGCAGCTACATCCTTTTCTACGCCTTGTTCTGCTACTTCGCTCCTCTGGCCACCATCATCTACTCCTACTTCTTCATCGTGCAGGCTGTTGCCGCCCACGAGAAGAACATGAGGGAACAGGCCAAGAAGATGAACGTTGCCTCTCTGCGCTCTGCTGAGAACCAGGCTACCAGCGCCGAGTGCAAGCTCGCCAAGGTAAAACCTTTGACTTCAACCTCCATCACCTTTTTCTTATTATATTATAATTGTTTTTTGTTCAGATCGCCATGGTGACCATCTCCCTGTGGTTCATGGCCTGGACCCCATACCTGGTCATCAACTTCACCGGCATCTTCGCAGGCCCCGCCATCACTCCTCTGTCCACCATCTGGGCCTCTCTGTTCGCCAAGGCCAATGCCGTCTACAACCCCATCGTCTACGGTATCAGGTAAAATCCCTTTTTTTAACCTGAATCACAAAATAATGCTTTGATTTTAGCCACCCTAAGTACCGCGCCGCTCTGCAGCAGAAGTTCCCCAGCCTGTCTTGCGCCCCTGAGCAGGACGACAACGTCTCCCAGGCTTCCTCTACCACCAACAGCGAGGAGAAGTCCGAGAAGGCATAAGCGGCTTCTTACCGCGAGAGTGCTTCCGGTATTTCGGAAAAAAGACGACCCGGCGATGCACCTTGTATACTGTCTTAATGCACCTAACGATCTCGAAAAACAAACCCATATTTCAGTTTCATTATTTAGTCACACTTACATTTTCATTTCCCATTATAGAAATTCTGTTATGTTCAAATTTTTTATCTGTAATAAACCCAGCATTCAAAAAACGAAAAACAAATTGCTTTGACTTCAAACAAACACCCTTCTTCAAACAAGATAAAATAAAAATAAATATTTAAAGAATGGCTTGTAAAACGAATTACAGTGTTTTGTTGTAATTTCATATATTATTAATATTTTAACATATCTTTATATAATTATCTTCTTTTTACTTCAAAGGTGGCAAATATAGTACGTTTTAGAGTAAAAATTATGGCAACGACATGTTGACTGTACTCTCAACCCTCACTCAGTCTAACGCAATAAAGGGAATTAAAGCGTCTTATTTTTCTTACATGAAAGCCATACAGGCACTCAGCAGTTGAAATGCCGTTAGAACGCAAGAGTTATTCACACATATGCATTAACATAGAAAATAACGATAATAAGATGACTGAAAAAAAAACATGTATTCACAAATTGACTCACATTTTAGCGTTGCTAATGCGAGCGGACAGTTCAAAACATAAAAGTTCAATATAGAGAAATTTTAGCGCTGATCTTTTTTTCCAGAAACACATCAATTGACTCACTGCCTGTTTAAGATTAATTTCATCATTTTTGGCAGTGATCTTAAAATTTCACCCCCGCAGATCAAAACTAAATTTAATGAAGTTATTGAAATCTATGGTTTTCAATGTGTCTCAATTTGTCAAGATGTGGACTGCATCAAAACCGAAAATAAAATTATTTACAAATTAAAATAATACTTGTTAAGGTTTTCAATAAATCCAAATAATATAAATTAATAATTTATATTATGTGGTTTATTTCAATATCACATTTGTTTCCACATTGTAAGAGAGTGAATGGAAGAAATGAAAAAAACAACCGAAATTTGATGCCAGAAATATGAGAGTTAAAATCAATCTCAAGAATAAATGAATTTTCAACATATTTACTCATGTCGTTTCAATTTTCCAAGCTGTTATAGTTGTAAATCTTCAAGTAAAGATTAAAAAATTATCTCAAATGTAAAAACGAACAAAATTTATTAATAAACCAGACTCATACATAGTAGCAAAGAACCAAACACTTCTCATACAAATAGGACTTGAAGAGTGACAAGACTGACAAGGACGCTATGATATCTGAGAACAACTGACAATGCGTAATAAAAAGGCTTCGTATTAAATATTACGTAAATGGAACGTCTCGGTTGATCTCCACTGCAGCAGATAAAAGTTTGCACGCGCTTTCTCAACTTTCCTCTAATCGAATTATCCCTTTTGGGCTTAGCAGGGGATGAGAGCAAGTATAAAAGCGGCCGAACGCCAGGCAGAGAGCATGAGCCACTCATCGACCAGCGGGCGTCGCAGAACCGACCACCGACTTTCCCGCCTTTTAAACTCTACCTTAGAAAGGTTCCAAGAGATCCAACATCAAGGTAAAGAACTAATAAGGAATTAAAGTTGAAGAGAAAATAATTGCCTGAAATTTCAGATGGCTTTGACTGGTCCAGTGTTTGAGGCCTACCGCGGCGCCAACATGACCGTCGCGGACAGCGTCCTGCCCGACATGCTCCACCTGATCGACCCTCACTGGTACAAGTACCCTCCCATGAACCCCCTTTGGCACGCCATCCTCGGCTTCGTCATCGGCGTTTTGGGAGTCATCTCATTCTGCGGCAACGGCATGGTCCTCTACATCTTTGGCACCACCAAGGCGTTGAGGTCGCCGTCCAACCTGCTGGTCATGAATCTGGCTCTCTCCGACTTCCTCATGATGATCGTCATGTCACCACCCATGGTCATCAACTGCCTGTACGAAACCTGGGTCTTTGGTGAGTACAAACTGTAATATAAAACGATGAGATACGAAGTGAGCTTCATTCAAAGGTCCTTTGATGTGCGAACTGTACGCCATGGCTGGTTCCCTCTTTGGCTGCGGAGACATCTGGACAATGGTCTTCATCGCCATGGACAGATACAACGTCATCGTCAAGGTAGAGGCAGAAAAAATCACAACGAAATCCGATTTTTGACAAAAAAATTCCCGCAGGGTCTGGCCGGCAAACCCTTGACGACCAGCACCGCCCTGCTGAGGATTGTCTTCGTCTGGACCTTTGCCACCGTGTGGACTGTCGCACCCCTCTTCGGGTGGAACAGGTAACTTTGAAGAACAAATTTTGGAAAATGTCACACAGATACCATCAAACACAGGTACGTCCCTGAAGGCAACATGACCTCCTGCGGGACTGACTACCTGAACCGCGAATGGTTCAGCGCCAGCTACTTGGTGGTCTATGGCATCTTTGTATACTTCATCCCGCTGTTCAGCATCTGCTTCGCCTACTATTTCATCCTCTCAGCCGTTTTCGTGCACGAGAAGGCCATGAGAGAGCAGGCGAAGAAGATGAACGTGGCCTCGCTGAGGTCCGAGGACAAGGCCCAGAGCACCGAGTGTAAGCTGGCCAAGGTCGCTTTGGTCACCATCTCGCTGTGGTGCATGGCGTGGACACCCTACTTGATCATCAACTTCAGCGGCATCTTCATGAGCGCAGACATTTCGCCACTTACTACCATCTGGTGCTCCTTGTTTGCCAAGGCCAGCACAGTTTACAACCCAATTGTCTACGGCATTAGGTGAGCCATATTTATTTATTATTTAAATTCCTAAAACCTATGAGATGATAATTTGAATAACTCAATTATAAAAATAATAATTATATTAATAGTGTTGTTGTTGCATTTGATTTCATGGTTGTGATGAAATTTTTCACACTCAAATCCAAGAATAAAAAAAAAATATATAATGAGAAGAACTTCTTCATTAAGATTTCTTTTGTTATTTTGAGTAAAATTAAGTGATTTGTACTCAACTCGCTTTAATTTGGGCCCATCAATTTTCAGTCACCCAAAATACCGGGCAGCCCTTTACGCGCGGTTCCCTGCGCTAGTGTGTGGAGGCACAGATGACGACTCTTCTGCCTGCGCCTCACAAGGCTCAACCAGCACCGAAGCAGAAAAACCCGAAAAAGCCTAAGCTGAACCATCGCTGACAATTTTTATCAAGACAATACAACGAACGGACTATGAACTTCTTTCCATTAGAGCAAAAATTTTTACAAATCTTGAAAACCCATCGATTGTGTCTAGACTGACCAAGCATCAATAAAATGTGAATTGTAATCACGCAAGCTAATTTATTATAATTTTAAATTCCCATGAATGAAAAAAATGCAATTGTAGTTGTTCTTACCGTAGAGTGATCACTCGGCACTAACAAGAATGTCCTCGGGCGACATTTCGCCCCACAATTTGATGGCACCCTCGCTGGCTGATACCACTTGATTGCCTGAAGGGTGCACACTCAGGGTAGGCACCACGATTGGGCGCGGGCTGTGCGCAAGTTTGCCCAATACCTTGCCGGTCACCAGCTCCCAAATCCAGATGCAGCCGTCGGCCGAGCCGCACAGCACCGTCGAGTCTCCTGGACCTGGCAGGTTGGAAATTTTTTTTATAAAGGAGCATAAAATAAAAATTTATCACAGCTTTTTTATCATATTAAATATTAAATTTTTTCATAACATATTAAAATTTAACTGGAAATAAAAACATAATTTGTTGGATAAAGGGTTTTGTCTGCACTGCCTTACAATGAGCAAAAAAGAAACAATAAATTAATTGACATTGATGAACAAAGTTAGTAATAAATTATTTATCAAATAACTATTTTGATTGAAAATTGATCTTATAACAAATAAATAATATAATAAATAAAAGGATTATTCATACGTTGAAGTAAGGAACAGACCTGTGGCTACTTCAACACAAAAGTCCTTGGTGGTGTGTCCTGAGAACTCATTGAGCAGTTCGCCTGCAGCAGTGTCTATCAACCGTACGGTGGCATCGGCACAACTGGCCACCACACACTGCCCATCCCTGGTGAAGGTCACACTGGTTGTGGCCTCGCCCAGTGTGTCAGTGGTCAGTTGTCCAGCGCGCAAATCGTACTCGCGCACTTTGCCATCCACAGATCCTGTCAGAATTTTACTTTCAGTCACCTAAAAAAAAGAGAGAGGTTATACAATATTTTCCAAGATGATTTTTTTCAAACATAGATTTTTAATAAATTGGAACAGTCTGATTCTTTCTGTTTTCACATACCCCGCCCAAAGTTGAAGATATCGATATGAGATTTTCACCACTTCACCATCTTAGTTTGAAAGCGACTTTCCTAAATTTTTGACTAAAAATTTTCAAAATTGCGGGTTTTACGGGACATTTTGGAAAAACAAAAAAACGTGATTATCTCAGCTTCTAGTGGTCGTAGAACAATTTTCCGGGTACGGCTGAACTCGTCTTAGCAAGTTCTACAACTTTGCTGTTGAATGTAAAATTTTAGGTCAAAGGTCAAGGTCATTTTTGGTGACCTGAAATTTTCAAACTCAAATTTGAAAATGTGCTGCATGATGAAAATCATTTTTGAGATTGACATTCGATTCATCATGAAATTTTACGTATTATATGTCAAAATTGCGATGTTGATATTTTTAGTTTAATTTAAATAAAAATAAGAATATTAAAAAACGTGGTTTTTCGCACCTCGGCAGGCAGTGTCAACAATATAATCGTCTGTAACTTTTGTTCTGATGATTTTAGGTACAAAGTGGTTATTACCAAAGTTAATCTCCACGTCAAGACCAATCGATTGGTGTATATGTCAATGACCTTCAGTGACCTTGGGGTCAAAGGTCACCCAGGTCGGTGACCTGGGGTCTGGGGTCACACGACCTAAATGTGTGATACGTACTTAGAAAGGTCTTGTCAAGAGGATAATTTTGGTCACTAAGTTTTTTACTTTACGTCTACTACAAATCGAATAATTATAATTTTTCCTAATTAAACGCAGAAGTTTGCGTAAAATTTATTGGAAATTAGAGATTACTCGCTTTGTGGTAGACGTAAAGTAAAAACCTTAGTGACCAAAATTATCCTCTTGACAAGACCTTTCTAAGTACGTATCACACATTTAGGTCGTGTGACCCCAGGTCACCGACCTGGGTGACCTTTGACCCCAAGGTCACTGAAGGTCATTGACATATACACCAATCGATTGGTCTTGACGTGGAGATTAACTTTGGTAATAACCACTTTGTACCTAAAATCATCAGAACAAAAGTTACAGACGATTATATTGTTGACACTGCCTGCCGAGGTGCGAAAAACCACGTTTTTTAATATTCTTATTTTTATTTAAATTAAACTAAAAATATCAACATCGCAATTTTGACATATAATACGTAAAATTTCATGATGAATCGAATGTCAATCTCAAAAATGATTTTCATCATGCAGCACATTTTCAAATTTGAGTTTGAAAATTTCAGGTCACCAAAAATGACCTTGACCTTTGACCTAAAATTTTACATTCAACAGCAAAGTTGTAGAACTTGCTAAGACGAGTTCAGCCGTACCCGGAAAATTGTTCTACGACCACTAGAAGCTGAGATAATCACGTTTTTTTGTTTTTCCAAAATGTCCCGTAAAACCCGCAATTTTGAAAATTTTTAGTCAAAAATTTAGGAAAGTCGCTTCCAAACTAAGATGGTGAAGTGGTGAAAATCTCATATCGATATCTTCAACTTTGGGCGGGGTATGTGAAAACAGAAAGAATCAGACACAAAATTTTAGTGATGTGTAAATTAATTGGTCTTTTGACATTTATGGTCTTTCGTGATTAAAATTTCAAATAACCTGGATAGAGGTGACGCTGTCCTTCGCGTCGGTGAGGATCTGGATGGGGTCATAGCTATGGCTGCGCGTGTCCCACAGACGGACTGAGTTGTCGTGGCTGCCGGACGCGACTACGCTAGAATCCTCATTGAAGCGGACGCAGGAGACAACGGTGGCGTGGCCGCGGTACCGCCGTAGAGACTGTCCAGTGCTCACATCCCACAATATGACCATTTTGTCAGCGCCGCAGGACACCAGTTTGGCGCTGTCGCAGGAACTGGCCACGTCCAGCGCCTCCTTGCCGTGGCCAGGGTACGTCTTGAGAAGCAAGTTGCGGTTTGGGTTCCACAACTTGATCTTCCGGTCGGAGCCGCAAGTCAGACAGTACGAGCCATCTGCATTGAATCGGACGGCACGGACGGCGCCCTGCTTGCAATCTATCGTCCGGATGCAGTTGGACAGCGTCGTCGCCACTTCTTGCGCCATTTTTCACTTAATTTTAATTGGAAGAGGTGCGTTCAAGGTGTTTGCAGACTTGCTTCAATTGGCCAACCAGATCTTGCATCTCATTCACGTCGCACACAAAGTGAACGGGCTTCTCTTTACCCTCGGTGTCCACAGTGTTCAGCTCCAACTGGTACTCGAGACCGCCTACTCGCTCACTGCTGCTATCCTGTAATCACACAAAAATTCTCCCATTAGAAAGACTAATTTAGGTCATAAAAAATAGCACAATTTCCTATCATTTATCTATACAAATTACTTTTTCTTTTTAAAGAAAAAGTAATAACAAGTTTTTTGCTGGCACTAGCAGAAAAAGCATGCAGGATAAAACAAAGGACAACCAAATTAACTTTTTTTGCAGATAAGAACAAAAACCAAGTCAACTGAGGCTCATTGTGGCGGATGGGGTCTTTTTGGTCTTGAAAGTTTATGCAAAATTCTTGCTAGTTTGCATTGTTTATTGATGTCAATTGCTGTAATAAGACATGTTTTAGTTTTTGCAACATTTAAAGAGATAAAAAAATTCCTGATTAGTCTCTCATTTCGCAATTAATGTGGAATTAAAATTAAATAAATGAAGAAGGTAAAATAATCTTAAAATTTACAAAAAAAGATCTTACAAGCTAGATTTTAAATAATTACCTACAGATAATAAAATTAAATTTAAAAAATTCTTTGAATTGATTTAATATAATATTTTTGACTGAAGTCCCCCCGCCTCATGAAACGATCCTAAGCAAAAAACTTCTTCCATGCTATAAAATTTTTATGATAAAATAGCTGATTATCAGCGGTGGCAAGCGGTGGGGAACGCAGTGCAACCGGGCCCGCCAGAGGTCGTGCGTGCCGTGGTGTTGGTGCTCAGCTGGTGCTCTCGAACAACAAGTGGTGTCAAAGGCCCCTTGCTTATGACAGAGAGGCGATGGTGAACGGGGACACGGAGCTGCGGCACCTGTCGCTGTCACAGAAGCGCGAGTTGGGCGAAATCCTGGAGGTGCGCGACTCGTGGAAGGTGCTCATGTCGGCCATCGAGGAGCCGCCCTCGCAAGGCGACCCTGGCGGAGGACGCAGGCTCAAGTACACGGCCCGGGACCTGAGCGTGCTGGAGCGCGAGGCCAAAGTGAACCCAAGACTGACCGGCGCCGAGATCCTCTTCGACGAGTGGGGCACCAGTGGCCGCCAAAGACCCACCCTGACCACCCTCGTGAACCTGCTGACCGACCTCAAACTCTACAGGGCGGCCGACTACGTCTCAATGAACCTGCTCGGCGGAGCGCCCGTCCAGAGACAGGAACAATTTCACAGGAGAACTTTGACTGGTAAAATAAAATTATGAATAAATTATTGAAGAAAAAAATTAATAGTTCCACATTTTTTTCTTCAATAATTTTAAATTTTGTGTAATATAGTAAGAATGGAATAATTTAATTTTTTTCAAGTTGGATTTCATATTATTTTAATTATAAAAAAATATCCAAGCTAAAATTTAATTTTTACGTTAGATTTAATGGAGACAAAGGTAATAAAGTCGACTGACGAGCCTGCCGCTCAACTGGAAGCGATTCCTTACCCTGAGCTAGAAAGTTGCTGCGGCTGGGACTACAAGGAGCAGGGGAAGGAAGAGTGCATAGGGGTTGGCGCCTTTGCCTGTGTTTTCAAAGCCATCGTCCCTGCCGTGAATGGAGGAAAACCAGTGGCCGTGAAAAGATTCCACCAGGGAAACTCCAAGGCCGGAAAACAGTATGAGGTGGAACTAGAGGCTCTCAAGAGGATCAAACACAGAAACATTGTCCGAATGTTAGGCTACAGTGAGGGGACACACAGGTTGAATACTCTATAAAATTCAAATTTGATTAAATTGCTTTTATGATTCTAAAAGTTGGCAAAATTCAAGACTGAATTCATAGTGCGGAGTAAATAAATTACCAGCGGAGCCTTGAATTTTTTTCAACTTTTGATTTAAATTTTCAGGTGCCTGGTGCTCGAGTTGCTGGACCAGGGCAACCTCGAGGACAACCTGGCATGCAAACGCAGGTCGCAACCAATCAGCTGGCGGCCACGCGTGCAAATTGCATTAGGAACGGCCGAAGCCCTCGCACACCTCCACTCGCAGAAGTTGGTGCACCGAGACATCAAGAGCGCCAACATCCTCCTGGACGAGGCCCTGCAACCCAAGCTGGCCGATTTTGGCCTGATGCAGGAAGAGGATGATGAGGAGCAGGACTCGGAGTCCGAGCTCGAGATTGCAGGAACCTCCTGCTACATGTCCCCAGAGGCCATCACCTATGGCAAGGTCACCCTCAGAGGAGACGTCTTCAGTTTTGGTGTTGTTCTGCTTGAACTGCTAACCTCCCTGCCCGCCGACGACGACAACCGAACCTTCAGGTGAAACAAATGCAAGCCTAATATTGTTCAAATTTTGATTTGATTTGTATTTCGAAGGTCGCTTCTGTTGCATGTTGAGGAAATATGCGGCGAAAATTCAGTTGCACCCCTTCTGGACACAAAGGCAGGTTTGTGGGGCGGCAAGGGTCAACCTGTGGCCCACGTCCTTTACAACCTGGCAGTCCACTGCGTAAACAGACGAGACGACATGCGACCAAACATATCCAGCGCTGTGGAAAAACTTGTTGATATTTTGGCAGTAAAAACTAAAGTTGTTGATTGAAAAATTAGTGCGTTTTGCTTTACCTTTTCGGTGTAATTTAGACTCCAGTTGGCATCGACGACCTTCGGCAGGTGGTTCTGCACAGATTTAAGGCTGACAAGGGTAGCGTTTCTCACGTTGTCTAGAAGTTTCAACAGGAGGTCTGTCTTGGCCGCAGGGAAATGCTGCTCGGTCAGGTATTCTCTCAGGTCCTGATCCTGACGAACTGACTCAGCGACGAGGGCCAAAACAGTTGTCAAGCATGAGTTCAACTCCGGCCCAGGCAACGAGTCACCAGCTAAAAAAAAAATATGTTTAATAGTAATGATATTTAAAAAATCATTTAATTTGCTTGTTTTTACATAAAATAAAAATTAATAAAGAGAGAATAAAGAGAGAACAATTAATAGTAAAAAAAAAAATGTTAAATGTAACATGAATAAAACAAAAAGCAAAGTGCGAAGTACATAGTTCTTTGTGACTTATTTTCTTATTTGAAAAAAAAAAATAAAAAAAAATATAACCGTTCAAAATTCCAGCTTGCTTCTCGTCTTAAAAAAATTATCAATATGTAATTAGAAGAAGAAAAAAATGGTAAATAAATGATTAAATTTTCTGGCAGTATGTCGTTATCGCTAAGAAATTTAATTATGTATTAATTAAAAAAAAAAATACATAAAAATTGAAATTATGATGAATGAATAAAATGCGTCATCTTTCTGTTTCTTCGCACGATTTTACCTGCAGAAGCTGCTGTGGCGGAAGCGACGATGAGACTCTTTGCGGTGGACAAGACGAGAAGAAAATCTTCGTCGCTGATTTGGGCTAAATTTGTCAGTTTTTCCGACAATTCGGCACTCAACATCCTGCGAAACAACAAAATTAACAAAACTCACTCACTAGTAGGAGTAGGCGTGGCGCCTGGAGATGCTCAACTGTTCGCGAATCGCATCACGTGACCTCCCTATCGCCTCTTGTGTTTGTAACACGTGCACGATTCGGCGATTTCCAGAATTTTCAGCAGATTTCACCCCGGATTTTATGTACGTACCCAACCGAAACTAAATTCTTTACCTCTAAACCGAAGATTAAAGTCCCGTAGTTGGAATTAAACCGAGTTTGGCCGTCCCGGTCTCTGTCCGAGTCGGATGGAACGTCGCCAAATTCGCGTTTCCTCATGGCTCCCATGCTGTCATTGAACCACAATTTGCTAAATTTTGCCACTTTCGAGTCTATTGAGACCCAATTAAACCTAAAATCCGATTTTCTTCTTATTATCAGCGTGTAATTGATGACTTTTGTTTGATTGCAGGTGTTAAAAGGGCGGAATTGCCAAGACAAAATGCAGTTGTTTGTTCGCGGTTTGAGCACGCAGGTGTTGGAGGTGTCCTCAGATGAGACGGTGGGACAGATCAGGAGCAGGCTGCTGCAGGCCGAGTCCGTGGAAGGCGAGCTGCTGCTCAGTTGCGAGGGCGTGCCTCTGGAGGACAGCCTGACCGCCGGCAGCCTTCTGTGCCCCACTTTGGACGCCAATGTGTCCGTCAAGGGAGGAAAGGTGCACGGCTCGTTGGCCCGTGCTGGAAAGGTCAAGGGCCAGACCCCCAGGGTGGAGAAGGGCGAAAAGAAGAAGAAGAAGACTGGTCGCGCTAAGCGCCGCATCCAGTATAACAGGAGGTTCGTCAACGTTGTCCAAGGCTTCGGCAGACGCCGCGGACCCAACGCCAACTCGTAATGGCTTAATCTATTTGTAATGAAACTCTTTTGATTGGATTGAATGGAGATGAGGCGGAAAATACATTAAAATAAAAAAAAAATTACATGACATTTTGATTTTAAATTTCCTCTGCTTAAAGAAAAGGTAAACTTTGGTAGTTTATCAAAAATGGAAATTCAAAGAAGTTATTTGTTAAAGCAGTGAAAAAATTATTGCGAAATGTTGAGTTGACAGTGAACCATTTTTCTCTTAATTTTTTAAAAGAAAAATATATTTTGCAAATTTGTAAAGGACTTAAAGAATCAATTTTTAATCCTGGTCCCAACAATTTTATTGCACACTGAATTCTTTCCTTTACTATGTATTTTATTTCTGCCCTCTTAGTGTAGGTTTTTTCATCCGCACACTCAAGCTTGTACAAATATGCATAGCATGGCTGGAATTCTGCAATAATTGAGTAAGCAAGTTTAAACAATTTCCAGAGAGGCATTCCTATTGAAAAATTGACAAAACTTTACTTGTCCTTTATATTTATACTTTATGATGAAATGCATCACTGCAATTAAATAAATAGCATTTTATATTTTTCTAATGTTTTTTCCAAAACATATATATTTATTATTAGATTAAATATTGCTAATTTATATAATGATCTCAGATGGATAGCATTTTCTTGACATATATTTTCATTACAAAATGAAGATACCAAACAAAGAAACAAATATTCAAACATATTTTTCAAAACAATTAACACTATAATATGTAGTGGCTCCTCTCTTGATTGACTATGTAATATTTTTCCCGGTTTTTCCCTTGCAATTTTAGAGACTTAAAGGCAGAGGGACAGCCAGGCCACAATCAGCAAAATTCCTCCATAGGGAGTGACGGGTTTTATGGTGGTTTCGCCAGTTAGAGCAAAGTGGTAGCACGGCCCACAGAACAGCACCAGTCCAGACAACATCAGGGAACCACTCTGAAAATTTGATAAACAAGAATCACATATTTGCATTTTATGAACAAATATAAAGAACTAAGATGATGACAAAATTAATAAAAAAAGCTTTATACTTTTAGCAGGATTTTAATAAAATATACTGACCAGAACTGGGCGCCTGCAAAGAGGAACAGCAAGCAGGGCCAGACTGTGCAGAAAGTGATACTGATTGGCAGTGCTAAAGGCCCTCTTCCTTTCATCGGACACATCTTCCTTTAGTAGAAGTGCTGCAAGAAAAAGTCCTTGAATCTCCCTTCAAATATAAAATCTTCACTACTTACAGTGCGCCCCATAGGCACCAAGACCAACGCTGGCCGCTCCAGAGAGGCCACCAATTCGCACAAAAGGCCCGCAGCTCTTGGCCATCCTGGACAATGAATTAGCAGCAGCTGAACTAGCCATGGTGGCGCCCTTCTGAGTAGCCTTGCTTGCCGTCTGCTTAGTCACACCCAAAAGTGAACCCTGCCGAAAAATAATGATAAAAAGTTGAGAAATTGTTTATTATTAAATAATAATTATTCCGTGCGGATCAAAAAATTACCCCTTTCTTGAGGCAGTCGACTGCGATTTTGCTGACCGGATTGTCAAAGAGGATATAGTTGACAGTTCCTTCGACACTCATCGTCTATAGGTCATTCGAATCCTGTGCAAATTATGTAGATTGACAGATTGACACCAGGGACGATCAAGGACGTACGATCGTCGCTATCAAGTTTGACTGTCAAGTTTTGAACTGAAAAGACAAAATGATGATGAGATGCTAGTAAAACAAACTAAAAAATAATGTTAAAATTGAAATTGGTTGGCAGCACTGCTTGGTTGGCAGCACTGCTTGGTTGGCAGCACTGCTAGGTTGGCAGCACTGCTTCGGTAAGGAAAACACTGGTTTAGGAGGGTCGTGTGTCTAATTTCGCCTTTTTTCCCTGAGTTGAAGGCCATGGCATCTGCACATGTGCCGTGGAGGTCACCACGAGGGTACGCTGCCCAGCCACCCATAAATTGTGGCCCTTCTTACGGACATACAGAAAATAGAGCAAAATTCCATCATCCAGCATGGCCCGAAGGAACTCCACCCACCCCCGGACAGGAGATGGCGCCAAACCCTCTGCAAAATGGAAACAATGGACCAGTTCTCAACTCAGGAGGTTTTGGACAGACTTATGCAGGAGGTCCGGCTCCTCCGGGAGCTGTAGTAACGTTGGAGGAAATCATTCAGCGTGTTTTCCAGCATGTCACGCTGCAATTCTCAAATCAGCTCAAAATTCAGAATGACCAACTTGGCGAAATGTTCAGTAAAACAGTATCTTTGATGCAGGAGGAATTCGAAAAGGAACGTTTGTCCTGGAAGGAGAGAGATGAGAAGCACGAGGCTAAGCTGAGGGAGCTTGAGCGGAAGGTCCTTTTCTACGAGAAGAATGCAGAAAATGAGTCGAGCGGTACAGATAACAGACGGAGGCAATTTCACGGCAGGTATCAGAGAGGTTATTATCCACCAATTGCTCCTCTGACAAAGGCTGATGACACACCCTGCGTGAACCAATACATCGATCGCTCTGCCCAACTCGATGAGGCCCTGAAGAATGATGAGTCGCTCGCAGTGGAGGGAGCCAAGGTCAAGTTTGTTGAACATCAAGGGGTCAGTCTACTGGATGCCAAGCAAGAGATAAAGGCACACGCCATAGCCTCTGATCTCTGGACCAGCATGGGGGCTGCACAAGAGGTTACGGCGGCGGTGGGCAAACCAAAAGCGGAGCCGGGAAAGACTGAAATAGGCGGAATCATCAGAGAGAAGACTGAAAAGTACGGTACTGTGTTTCACGTGGTAACTAAAATGAGGTCCCCCCACAAGTTGCACAAAGCACCTGAGCCTTTCCTAAAGGGAGTGAAGACTGCATTTGCTAAGCTGGCCCAAGTCATTCGAGAGGAAGAGATTGACGAGATTGCAATGACCTACATGTGCAGTGGAGTAGCGAATAAATAGGGGTTCTGGATAAAGTTTGCAACTGCGCAGGCGCAAAATTATTGATTAATTATAATTAATTAAATTAAAATTACATTGATTAAATGGAAATTGCATTGATTAAATGGAAATTACATTGATTAAATGGAAATTGCATTGATTAAATGGAAATTGCATTGATTAAATGGAAATTGCATTGATTAAATGGAAATTGCATTGATTAAATGGAAATTACATTGATCAAATTATATTGATCAAATTGAAATTGCATTGATTAAATGGAAATTACATTGATTAAATTGAAAATGCATTGATCAAATTGAAATTATATTGATTAAATTGAAAATATGTTAAGAGTTCTAATGAGTGTAATTTGTTTAATAAAAATACATATTTACGATTAATTTTTTTTATTGTAAATTCAGCTTATGTACACAACTAAGACATCACTGAAGAAGGAATGAGAATGTTTTAGTATTTTATTCCAAACCTGCGTTTCAACACGCATGCTAACATGCGCAATACAAAAAATCAATAACTTGCTTGAAAATATACATTTCTGAAAATGATAAAATTATATTATTTATGAAAAAAAAAATTTATTTGAAAAACGAATTCAAAAAATCAATAAAAAAACATTGCGCATGTGTACGTGTAATATATAGTCTAGATATTATTTTTATTTTTTACCAGTCTCAAAATGACTATAGTCGTGATAAGTCTTTGCGGATATAACGATCACAACGATATCTACCAACCGAGAGAACTGGGAATTTGCGCAGACGATGATGGATTTGCCAGAGTTTACCACATGGAGCAGCTCATACCGCTCCAATATGTAAACTCGAGGGAAAAAATTAAAATTGAAAAGTTTATTCAAGATACAAAAATCATTTGGGATCACGGCACTTTAAATAAGGGAGATTTCTACTACTTGCTGCGCAAATATTCAAAACTATCCGATATTATCGTCACAATGGGAAAGGAAGATCAAAAGACTCTTGAAAAAATGCTGCATCGTAAGATATGGAACGCCGAGGATCACGGATGCAAGAAGGCAGATCCATGCTCTTCGCCGGCGTGTGATGCTCACTCCGAATCCGACGCCGTGTGCGTGCAGCGCACAGCACAACACGTGTTTAACTATATGAGGAATGATCACAAAGTCAAAGTTAAAATTGAATGCGACTGCGTCACTGAAAATTTGATAAAAACGATGCAAAAGCTGTAAATCATCTTAGTCATGAAAGTTGCAGTGATGAGCGCGTTGGGATATTACGATTTTGAAGAAAATTATTTTTATAGAGAATTGTCAGTTTTCTTCAACGGACGTTTAGACACTTATAATTATAAAGACGATCATATGCGAAACGAGAACAAGATACTTTATAATTATTATTCAAATTCTATTGGACTTAAGGAAGGTGATTTACCTATTCAAAAACTAGGATATGTGGACAGTTATATTGAGAGAGAGACCGATGTCGTACTGACTTATGGAGAAGATAACGTTAATGTCTTACATAATCTCATAAGCAAGAAATTTTGGAACTTGGAAGATTTTGGCTGTCCAAAAGTCGATTTGAGTGAACCGCCGTGCAAAAATCATTTTGATTACAAAGCACCTTGTACTCGTCGAACGGTTTTGCATTTAATGAATTGGTATTTTGAAAATGAAGAATATGTCAAGTGTCAAATGAATTTGTGTGAAATGAACCTGCAGTCATTTTAAGAAAATATGTTTTCAAAGTATTTGAAAAAAATTTGTGTGGAAATTTTTAATTAATTCTTTATGTAAAATCTAAACTGCAGCAAAGAAATGACGAGCATAACACACGAGTGGTGTGAGCTGCGAGCGCAGCAGGGTAGATTTTATAATGATGCATGAGGGAGCGTTGCGGTTTTGCATTTAATGAATTTAAAGAATATGTCAATTTGTGTGAAATCATTTTAAGAAAATGTATGCAATTAATTTTTAAAAAAATTTGTGTGGAAATTTTTAATTAATTCTTTATGTAAAATCTTAAAAACTGCAGCAAAGAAATGACGATCATATCACACGACTGGTGTGAGCTGCGAGCGCAGCAGGGTAGATTTTATAATGATGCATGAGGGAGCGTTGCGGTTTTGAATTTAATGAATATGTCAAATTTGTGGGAAATCATTTTAAGAAAATGTATGCAATTAATTTTAAAAAATAAAGAATTTGTGTGAAAATTTTAATATTCTTTAAATCTTAAAAACAGCAGTAAAGAAAGAGAGTGAGCGCAGCAGGGTAGATTTAATTATGATGATAGGGCGTCGGTTTTTTAGTATTTTGAAAAATATGACAAATGAAATTAAGAAAATATAATGTTTAAAAAAATGAATAATTTGTGTGAATTTTTTAATATTAATTCTTTTAAAACAACTTCATTAAAAACAGCAGCACCAAAAAATACAAGCAGCACTTACGTCGCACGAGTGGTGTGAGAGAGTGAAATAAAAAGCGCAGCAGGGCTTAATGAGAGCTGCATATAACGGTTGATGAATCAATGCATTTTCAAACTTGCATTTGAGGGAAAGCACAATATTCTCACATCAATGCATTTGAATTAAAAATTTTGGGGTGTAAAAAAGCGAGTGAGACGCCACACGCGAATGCAGTTCGCATTAGATGCATTCGGCTTCCGGCAACGCAACGGTCGACATGGAGTACGTTTCACCGCAAATAAGTGTGAAAAATCCTTGTTGCAACTCGCTTCATCGGATAAATCAAGTCAAGGTATGTGTAAAAAAATTCAATAATTTTAAGTAAATTATTGGCACAAATTTATTTTGGCAAATATCATCTTCAAGTTCAATTATATTGATTATATTTTGGCAAATCTTTGTTACATCTTCAATTTTATTTTGGCAAACATCTTCAAAGATAATTTGGCAAATATTCGTAAGTTTCATAATTTCGCAATTCAATTCTTACATATTTCAAAAATATAACTGTTTGAGTATTAAATGTTCCATTTGATTAATGGACAAAAAATCTTTATCCAAAAATACACCAAATTTTATAAAACTTCTTTCAAAATTGAATTTCTTCTCAACAAAATTAAATTCATTCTTCTTAAAGAAACACTTTAATTTTACAAATTTATCTCAACCTAATTAAATTTCTCTCTACAAAATTAAATTTTCTTTTTAAAGAATCACTTTAATTTCACAAATCCCTCTCAACCAAATTAAATTTCTCTCCACAAAATTAAATTTTAAAGAATCACTTGACAAATTCATCTAATCCATGTACACAAAATTAAATTTTCTTTTTAAATTCAATTTCACAAAAATTTTTGAATTCCCTCTCAAAACTTCTTAAATCTTCTCCAAATTTTTGTAAGAAATTTATAAATCCCTCTACTATGAAAATGAGTTTTTACAAAATTTTTCTTTTGTACCTTCAAAGTCTTTTCGCTCTCAACAAAAATTCTATATTCACTTTCGTCGAGCAATTCTTATGCTCGTACGTGTGGGAACAGTTTTTTTAACAACTTTCTTCTTTTGAATTAAACGAGGAATGTGAGAGCGAAATGGATTTGTTGGAAGAGCAGCGTGAGGAGCAGGGGACGCGTGCGGTGGTTGAGGAGCAGGGGACGCGTGCGATGCTTGAGGAGCAAGGGACGCGTGCTGCATGACAGGGGGCATGGCAAGGGGCGCTTGCATGTTTGCGTGCGGTGGTTGTGATGTGAGAATCGGAGCATGCATGGAGGGTGGACGAGGAGGCAGAGGGATCATGGGAGATGCACGGGGCGAGGGAAAAGATTGAGAGGGATGTGGCATTGGTGGCAGTGCAGGAAGAAGTGGCGGAGGTAGTGATGGGGGTGCCAGTGCAGGAAGAAGTGGCGGAGGTAGTGACGGGGGTGGCACAGGTGGTGGAAACCAAGTAGATGCAGCAGGGTGTCTCGGAATTTTCTTGATAGCGCCACGGCCTACTGTTTGAAAAAGTGGTCCGCCTGCATTAGCATAATGACCGACCGGTTCTTGCCTATGTATACGAGGAGGTGATGGCCAACTCATAGGCTGGTTAGCAGCAGGGGCTATAAAGGAGTTTCATAAATATTTTCCTCGTTAGCATAAATAGTTGCCACCACCGCTAATTCATCCTCCACCTCGCTAAAACTACTTGTACCTGATGAGGGTGCAGGACCAGCAGCATTCAACGGAGGGACATTCTGTAAAGATGATGGGTTAGTTGGTGTAATTGATAATGTACGAGTTATGGTGTTGTAATTTACAATGGCATTGAGCAAACGGTTGTTAGAAACTGGTAGTGCTATATTAAATATTTCATTAGGAGTTATGCATTCCTCTGCTGCTCTGGGAGGAGGGAGTGGTGGGGGATTAATGTTGTTGGCAGCTGTAATTGCTCTTTGTACACCTAACGTAATAAAAGAATCGGGTAATGGTAATCTTCTCACCCTAACAGGTCTTCTTCTGAAACAAGGCCCTTTCCAAACTAGCAGCAGCACCAATCCACACAAAGCAAGCATGATCATGACACAAAATAACCAAAGCCAAACTAAAAAAACCAAAACTTTAAAAAAAATTAAACAAATTTATACGCCTCACCACTGGATGTGGTAGGTGCAGGAGGTGTGGGTGCAGGAGGCACGGGTGCAAGGGTCGGCCAAGTAATAATTGGAATGTCTGTTGTTGTCGACAAAGTTGTTGCTCGAGTTGTTGTTGATGGGCGTGTTGAAGGACGAGTTGTTTTTGATAGGCGAGTTGTTGTTGATGGACGAGTTGATGGAGAATGTGTTGTAGTGCTGTCGCCAGGAGCCAACTCGCCGCCTAATCAAAAAAATTTACATTTTTTTTACAAAATTAAATTCAAATCTTACATTTGTGAAAATCGGTAGTGCATCGACAAGACTCCAAACCGCAGATGCTACAGGCATGGCATGCTAAAAACAAAAATTTTAAAAAATTGAAAAGAAATTTTAAAAAATTCACCTTTTGAACTTCCTGTCCAGGTTTTATATGATCCTTGATTGCATCCATCAACAGTGACATCTCGAATGGCAATTGCACCTAACATTAAATGATTAAATTATGCAAAAAATAAAGTTAGATCTTACTTTCTGGACATGTCATTGGGCTTAACAGGGCGACAACGTAATCGTCCTCGGTGAGGTTTTCAGACTCGAGAACTGAGAGTGCAATATTGACATTGCTTCGAACCAATACATAATCAGTTAGGGTGTTAAACTAAAAAAAAAAAAATCAGTAAAGTTAAACACAAAATTTAATAATATACCTGAATGTACTGTTGACTATTGCCGCTGAGCATGAAAATTCCTGCGACATTATCTGATGCCCAGAGTGTGACACAAGCTTCTTGCGAACCCTCATCAAAGTTAAGCGTCAAGTTTGCTAAATCTTTTCTCCACACACTGGATAGACCTAAAATTTTAAAAAAAGTGAATCATCTTTCCAAATTCCTTAATCAAAATTCATCTTTTGTATAAAATTTCAAATCAGTAATTATCTTTTGTAAAATATCAATTCAAAAACAAAATCTCTTTTAAAAATTTCAGATTCTTTTGATTCTTTTCAAATACATTTAATTCAAATCTGTGATTCATCTAACAATTTCAATTAACAATTCAAAAACTTGTTAAAAATCTTAAAAAATTTCTTTCTTTTGATGAAATGGAAAATTCATATTAAAACTAATTCATCTTTTGTGTAAAAAAAATTCATAATTTCTTTTCATTAAAAATATTCAAACTTTTGATTAAACTTACCATCAACTAGACGAACAAAGCCTGAGACTTTAATTCGATTTTGATCGTGGGAGCTTTTCACAACACTGATGCTGGAACCAATTTGCACAAGGACGCGTCCCCTACTACGTCTCGACAGAATGACTTCCTAAAAAAAAAAAGCGTTAGAAAACAAAAACCTCGATAAAATAATTCCGTACTGTCCAAACTCCATTCGGCAGAGGAATGTTGTTCTCGTCAATGGATAAAACCGCTTCCTTCCCACTGTATTTAAAATACAGAGTATCTGAAGACCAGTTGCCAATATCAAAGCCTTCACTTGGTGGAAACCCTAAAAATTACAATCAGTGCAAACTCAAATCAATTAACTAAACAAACCATTTTCGATCTTTTTCCCGATGAAATTGGGAATAGCCACGCCCCTGGGCAGATTGCTCAAGTTGTAATCAGTCCATCCGAAATGAGCCTGCAGCTAAAAGTTTTGGATAAATTACATAAAAAAATTTGAATTTTTATTTTTACCTTTCTTTCATTCAAAACTACTTCCTGGGTGAAATGATCGAGTCCAATCCATTCCACGTTGGTGTCATTGACACTTTCGCATGTTGAAAATTGGAGGCCTTGCCGGAACTCGATCGCTGGTTTTCAAAATTTAAATTGAAAATAAATCATTCAAGATTAGTAAAATTAACTCACCATCGATTGCCACGGCAAATAAAAGCAGCAAAATCAATTTCATTTTGGAGCTCAAACGTGGTACATCACCAAGACCACGCCATGACGACAGATATACCGGTATTAACCGGTGAGAAATTTTTAATGTGTGTAATCCTCTATCGCAAAAGAAATCAATATTTGTAAACAAATGTATTTTTTATAATAAATCTAGGCTGAAAAATAGATAATTCGTCAATATTGGTATAGAAAAACCAGTAATTGGTTAGAAAAACCGGTAATCGGTTTTTCTTTATCCACTTAACTAATTGAACCAATAAATTTTGTCTAAGTGGTTTTTTGTGTTGTGAAACGATTGTAGGTCGTTTCCTAGACTGGTACAAACATATCCGGCAGAGGTCAGGGCGGGCGGGTACCGAATGGCAACAGTGGGCTCTGAAAGGGGGCGTAACGAGGAGGTTGGCTGATTTTGTGATGGGATTGTTAGGTGAGGAGAATGTTGAAAGTGGGATACTAAATCAAGCGCGCGTGATTTAAATTAATAGAAGAAAAATACAACTATTGTACAGCTCACCCTGACGGTCCTAAACATTAATTGAAATTATTGGGTTTATGGTCCTCCTGTCCTATAAAGTATATTAAATTTATTATTTTTTTTCTGAAGAAATAAAAATGCAGTAAAAATACATCTTGTGTTGTTAAATTTAATTTCTAAGTTAATTTAATATAAAAAATCTGAGAAATTTTAGAAGTTAAATTGGTCAAGAAAGACAAGGATTACAATGATTTTGAGCAATTTCAAGTTACAATTTCAGTAAATGAACAATTATATACATAGTAGAAAAATTATGTACGTAGACAATTCAAGTCAAGAAGGGTTTTACTCAGAGGGCCTAGAAGGTCACTGCAAAAATAATAATGAATCCAAACTTTCTTTAAAATATTTTTTGAATTAATAGATAACAATTAGGAAAAAAATATGATATTGCTACGAACATCTTAAAAACCAATCGGAACTAGTTAAACATAATTTTTATTTTAATTTATGATTTACAAACAAAATAAATTTATTTACATCTCACTTGCCAAATAAAGTTTGGGATATTCTACATGTACGTAGCTGCGGACAAGCTTGTCAGGTCTTGGATTATAGATGAAAAATACATTAATCAGTCCAGAGGTCGTCCAGGATCAGTATTTTACTTTCAGCCATCGTAGAACTGCATTTCAGTGGTCTCCAAAACCTTTAATCATTTAGATTGTGATTTAAAATTTTATTTAATTTCCATAAATTTGACGTTTCAAAAATCTTTTTTTGGTTAAATTGAGTTTAAATCAAATTTTATCTCTTTAGATATTTATACTTAAAATAATTTAATATTTGTTAATATTTAAGAAACATTCCGTTTAATTTTTGATACCATTTTAATAATTTATAAGTTCTTAATTGAAAACTAAATTACATACCTCCGTCATTATATTTCCCTTTCCTGATCGGAAACATGAAGTTGCGACTCGATCTCGGGAGAGCCTGGTTTTTCCTTGAATTTGAGGCATCGCAGGGATTCGTGATAAAAAGCGAGTTGCTCTGTTTCCATGGCGTACAAATTATTTCGCGTATAATGCGCCCAGAATACCAAAATAATTGTAAAATCGCAAAAGAAAATCACAAACCAAATTTTGGGTGTTTGTTTGTTTTGTTTATATTTTTGTTGGCTTGGCTGCTACGAGTGCTACGGTGCGGGTGCGCCTCGCCTGGCTCGCCTGCTGCCACCTGCTGCCTGCTCTAAGGACCAGTGGCAAACAGCCAGCCAGCCGCTGATTGGCTGCAAACGCGCCGTGCACCTGACACGGCGCGCGAACACTCTTCTCTTGGCGGAGGAAAAAATAAATGGCCAGGAATATTATCTTCAATTTTTCCAATTTTTCTATCTTTAACGCTGATCTTCGGCCGCAGTATGATTTTGATAATTTAATTTTTATTTAAAATTTTTGCAACAGCTATTTGCGGATTGATTTAATTAAATAATTCTCAAGAGAAAAAATTTGAAAATTTGATTAAATATTTTATAACAAACATAAAATTTCTGATCTGCAATTTAATTCAAACGGTAAAATATTTTAATAAAAAAATTTAACAACTTTATTTTTTTTCTGCTACCGAGTCAAAATTTTTATTTTTGGAAAACTCTTACGGAAAGCGAGAGAAATTATTAAAGGTCAGAGTTTCAGTGGACAAACAAAAGGTTTTTGCTAGTAAAAATTATATTTGAAAATATTAACTAATAAATAGTCCACGCTAGACACACTCTCACTTGAGAACAAAGAACTGCTATGAGACATGGGACCGAGTTCAACTTAGGCAACTGAACATTTAAGGTTGGGGGAAATAATTAAAATTTCATGCCAAATGGTTAGAAATTTATGATCATTATCTTTCAAAAATGAAATTTTATTAAAAGAAGCTAATTGATTTGATTTTCTTTTTGTTAATTGATACCTCTTTGTGCTGGAATGAGTTCTATTTTTCTGCTGGGTGATCATTAGCATTAACGGAAAAAAATAAATAACAAACAGCCCAATATATGCAAAGTGAAAAATGTCGTCTATTAATAAATTCATTGAGGAAAAGCCTAGATTCCAATCAACCAGAACCAACATGAATTAAATTTTTAAGTCCAACACAACTATGATTTACTAAAAAAAAATATTTTTTTGTTGCTCTAGTTTTCCTAAAAAAATTGAACTATTGTGAGTTTTCTGTAGACATTTTTATATTTTTCTAAATTATATAATTTAATAAAAATAGTTCTATTTAGTAAGAAGCTTCTTGTAATTTTATTTTTAAATTTCTATGAATTTTTATGTTCCCAAAACTAATTTATTGCGTTATATTTTAATTTTTAATTATTCATCATATCTGCATCATATAAACTTTTTAATGCACCTCACTATATTTTGCATATTTTATCTGAAAAAAAATATTGCTAAAAATTTTATTAATGTTGATTTCAGATAAAATATAATTATAATTATTTATTAAATCAAATTAATCGTATTTCTTAGCGCAAAAATTACAATTTCATTATTTTCGGAGCGCACCGGATAAAAGAAAACATTCATTTCTCATTGAGATAAAAGACTATTCTACTTATGTAATAAAACTTGAGTGTCTTTCACGTCCTTTATCTCCTCTCTGAACACTTTTCGTGCCTATGGAAGCAGCGTTGCCAAGCATTGCATAAAAACCGGTTTTTATATTAGCCACTTTTTACCGTTCTAGGAAACTGTCCCCAACCTGTGAAACAGTTTTGATATTACATACCGGTATTCAATTTAAAACGGTAAGAAGTTTCAAAAAACTTTTTTAATACAATCAGTACTGGAAGTTTAATTACAAATTTATGTTAAAAAGCGTGTATATTTTCATCTTTTGATAAAAAATTGCCAGTTTTTTTTTACAAATTGATGTTATTTACAAAGGTTAATGGAAGAAAAAAACCGGTTTATACATCAGATTATTTTTTATTAAATCCATGACACTCACTAAATCCACATCAATTATAAACGCGCAACACTTTTTTCTCTTCGGTCAGCAAAATTTCCTCTCTAGATGTTTCCAGAGCAGACGCGTATTTCTCAAACAAGGGAATCAATTTATAAATTCTTTCGACGCTTGCTTCCCCCAAATAAACTTTACCAAACGAGGGAATGGCCAGTGCAATAACTTTTATTTTGTGATGCGAAACGCACCCGGCCTCCTGCATGGTACCGTAGAGCAGATAATGCAAAGTATCCTTGTCATTAAATATCTTCAAAAAAAGGTTGTAATCGAGGATTGCGTGCTGGGGAAAAGTCGTGTATCCACCAATTTTTACAGCAATTTTGTCTTTTCCATCCTTATAATCAAATCCAATAGAGATATATTTTTCAAAGAAATTTGAGAGAGAAAATGTTCTCTCGGCAAACATTTTGAACTGAATAAAAAACAAGGATGATTTTCAGTTTATATACATTATACAAATCATGCGCAGTATATCTCGAGTTCTGAAATCAGTTTTTTAAGCATGGGATTTTTTGTTTTCAAAACTTCCACATTCCCCACGTCGTATTTCAGCACATGAAAAATTTTATTTGCGTCTCCCAGAAAACGAACTGCTATTATATTAAAATTATCGACGCATTATACTCATATTATAGTGAGAATCTCTGCTTAAAGTAACATTATTGTAGTATTCTGACACATTATTTTTCTACCCGTCCCTAGCAAAGTGTCATTAAAGCCACCTTATTTTAGTGTTACTTTGTGTGATGCAGGTTGCCTACTCTAGTGCCCCTGATGTCAACATCTTATTCTCGTTTTATTCTCCTCTTTGACAAATATGTTAGAGACACCTTATTTTTTGGGCTATTAAAGTACATTTATTTTCATTTTATTTTCCTCTTCTACTATCATATTATAAACGCCTTATTTTTTGAGCTATTAAAGTAACTTTATTCTATTCTTCTAGGCACATTCCAAAAGAGAAATATTCCAGCATGATTTAAACTAATATTATTTTACCTTTATAAAATCTTGAAATCAGTATCATATGATTGCAGAAGCCAATGACGTACAACAAATTGTCCAAGTGCGCTTGTGCAATTTCTCAATTAGTGTGACTAGTGTGTATATAAATGTATAGAAAAAGGCATTGTTTAGTATTTCTTCCAAACAGTTTTTTTGTATAGTAGTACATTTATATTATCAAAATATTTTTATTGACCAAAAAGACACAGTTATTCATATATGAGTGCGCTCGCGATCTAGATTTTGACTAAATTCCGCAGTGCTAAAGGCGAGTTTCACAGTGCACACTACTATTTATTATCAAAAGTATTAAGTAACAATTATTATGTGAATTTTGTTATTTTGTCAGCCCTATAAATTTGTAATCAAAAGCATTTCGGTCAGATTTTCTAAAATTAATATGAAGATCAAGCAATTAAATTTATATTAATTATTGGAATTCAACTTTAAACAATCTAAAGTTTGACATAAATATCTAAACTTTTTTTATCTAAACCATTACTTAGACATATGCAACATGCATTACAAAGGTGCATTGCCGTCTTGCCTGCGCATCAGGGAACGGGGGTGGTAATGTTTATTTTGTGAAAAACAGAATAATACGAGCAAGTGCCTGAAATCATCTCAAGGCGGTGCTGTATCCAAAAAGGTCGGATGCAATTCCTACCTGAGAGTAGGTTGCAACGCTGCGCTTATTCACTCTGCTCGCTGGCAGTGCAGTTTATTTGTTTGACCCACATATATAGGGGAGGAAGCGAGCGAGAGATGACAGTGACAAAGGACACAATAGAAATAGCTTCAGGGCACTGAGCGAAAATAGGAGAGGCCTCGCGAAGGAAGATTTTATTTCTTCTCTAGTTTTGGAGATCATATGGGGAGTGCCGTTAAAATTAAATTCAGTTTTTAATTATTTGCCACTGTCCTATTTGAGCCATTTTTATGGGAATTACATCATTAAATTCCAAATTAAATTCTCTTTTATATATGGATTTTTCAATTATTAAAAAAAATCAGAAGTAATTTTAAAAAACAAAAATTAGGATTTTGTATGTATTTTGAGATAATGACTATTGAACATTCTGGAGGTCTGTATTCAAAAGCGGATAAAGTTTTGTTAAAAACGTACCCGCCAGCCGTTCTCTCAATAACACGTGCTATAGGTGTGCATTTTTGTCGTGTTTTTTCTTATTTGGAATTTAAGTTTAAAAAATCAGGAAAGGCTACACATTTCTTAGGCACATATTATAACGCGCAGATAAATGCTAGATATTAGAGATTTTTTTATAAATATTACTGACAGTAGAAAGATGCAAATTTAACCTCAATATGCTAAAATTTTCGATTTTTCTGAATATCTTGCTTGCTTTGAGACAGAATAGCTTCAATTAATTTGTGCAGGTTAACAGGGCCAAAATATGTAAGTCTGTAAAATTTTGAGGGTATTGGCTTCATAGAAGTTGAGATATGAGTAATTAATACTTTTGGCACGCCCCATTCAAGCGGCGCGAAAAACCGGGTGCGCGCTTACTATGAGTGATGGTTGGGATTTTCCTTTCACGCGAGCAAGAATTCAAAAAATTTTGTAGCTTTGTCCCTATTGAAAATAAAATTTTGATTTTTGAAAAATGGATTACATTTTATCATACTAAAAATTTTGCCGTTCATTTTTTCCATTTCCATTGCACTGGAGGTGAGATATTCACAATAAACTGGTTTTAATTGTCACATTTATTAAAATAAAATCGGAACAATAAAATTGTTGGCATGATATGATCAAAAAGTAAATTAAATAAAATAAATGTCGTGTTTATTTAATATTTTAAATAAAATGAGCTTATTTGCAAAATTATAATTTGCATGCGCGAAAATAACTTATTTTGGACGCAGAAAATAATTTTCCATATTTTCAGTTGGACTTCCAATAATCGTCGATAAATTAGTTTAATGATAAATGATAAATATAATTTCCAGTATCTATGAAATTAAATTAATTAATATGAATTAAAACTTTCACTGAAAGTTTTTTGAAAATTGTTAAATTGATTGCGCTAAAAAAATGAGGTCTCCAAACTCAATTTAACTGCCACACATATTTCAAACTTCAAACTCATAAATTTGCATTTTGCAGTAAATTAAAAAAAAATTATTGAACCATGATTATTTTTAATCTGATACATATTTTTCCAAGAGTTCGAGTTTGTTTGCTCTGCGACTGCAGCTGATTGTGAGTGTAGGGCGAAAAGAGTTTGTTTTTTTGTTGAACGCGACCCTGCCGTGTTGCCAAGCCACCTTCAGGTATGTATTTTGTTCCGAAACGCCGCCCCCGCTGGCTGCTCGACGGTCCGCGCGTTTGCTCGCCCCATGCCTCATT